GTGCTGTGCCCAGGGGGGGATATCAGCGCCCTCGGCAGCTGTCCCCCCCGGGGTGCGCTGCGAATCCGTTCCGGATGGCCGCAGTGCTGTATGATCATACGGCCCCCTTTGCAATGTCATCAATGCGCTTGAGCGCCGCCGCCTCCGGATTCCGGAGAATCAGCTCCCAGATGGCGTTTGAAACGTGGCCGGTCTGGGTGATGTGGCTGAACCTAAACCGGGGGACTTTCTGGTCCACCACGGAGACATCCCGCAGCGGGGCCGAGGGCTCTACCCGGCGGTAGAACTCCAACCGCTCCTTGACCCAGCGGTTGTACAGGCCCTCCGGCGGCTCGTCCAGCACCAGCTGAAGGATGGCCTTGCCGGCCCGGATCTGGAGGAGGCGGGTGCCCCCTCCCCCGGCGCGCCAGTACCCCTTGCAGTACTTGCACATGTAGCCCCCCCGGGTCTCCCCTTTGGTCTTCGGGATGAGTTCCCACGGGGTGACGGAGCTCAGGACCAGGCCACACTCCATGTGCGCCCAGAAGACATGCTTCGTCTCCGCCGGATAGTTCTTCTTCCGGTAGTCCTTGCCCACCACGCCGTGGACGTTGTCCGATGTGATGGGGGGGTAAACGATCCCCTCATCGCCCTCTCCTCCCCTGGGGCGGATGTCAGGGCCATCGGCACCTGTCCGGCACCCAGGGGCGGAGGGGTCAAGGCCCATCAGCTTGATCATGTCGTTGGTGTAGCCGAGCTTGCGGTAGATGGAGGGGGCTACTGAGTCGGGGACTGCGCCGACCCACCACTGCTTCGTGTTGCAGCGCCAATTGACCTTCACCTCCGCCAGGGCCCCCGGGCCTCCAATGCGGTCCATGAGGGCCTTGTACACCTCTGGGAACTGCTGGAGACTCTCCACCGGGACAGATATGCGCTCATCACATACCGCCCGGAGGATCATCTGTTCCTTGGAGTCCGCCACGTCCTGGACCGGGAGCTGCATCACCTCCGCCGGGGTGTCCGTGAGGAAGGCCCGGGCCGCGAGGACCTTGCCCATGGCCCGGTAGACCAACCGCCACTCCGGTCCTGTCTGCGGAAATGGAAGGCCCTCCTCCTTCAGGAAGCACCGCGCGTCTTCCTTCAGGGTCTCCCAGCCCTCCAGGCGGATCTGATTCTGGGCCTTGTTCTTCGGGCCCCGCTGCCTAGGGCCCTGTAGCAGTGGCAGGGACTCCCAGAGCTGGCGCAGGGTGAAGCTGTGACCAAACATCCCCAGTAAGCCTGGAAGTGTCCAGGACGAGATCTGGCGCGCCCAGTGGAAGTCCTCATCCGGATCGTGGGGGGCCGCCCAGAAGATGGAACGCAGGTCCTCGGGGTAGGGTCGGTCCCCCGCCTTAGCCTGCTGGTTCAACTCATCAACGGAGTACCTGGCCCATGGGAGTCCACCCACCTGGTGGTTCCTGGGATGCGTACCCCTCTCCAGCGCCTCCGGATTCACCTTGGTGAGGTTGTTGGCCCAGTCCGGGACGTGTACGGGGCCCGGTCGTCGGACCCAGCGGCCCGCAAAGATACGGACCTCTCCGACCCGTTTGCTCATCATCCAGCGCAGGACCGCGAGCTGCACCTCCGGGTCCTGGGTATCCAGGCCCCCTGGGGTGGCAGACGGCTTGTCAGGGCCCTCGGCACCTGAGCTCGTCGCGCCAGAGCCCGAGGCTGGGGGGATGGTGGGCTGCCTGTCAGGGCCCTCGGCACCTGGGCGCGCCGCACCAGAGCCCCCCGCCTTTGGAATGGGGATCCCCGCCAGATCCGGCAGATCTGCCAGGAGGGCCGCCGGAAAGGGGTTCCTGCCCAGCGAGATGACCGCCTTGGCTTCGAGGTAAGAGTCCGTGAGGGACGTGAGGTCGTCCATGCTGAAATCCCTCCATGCCGTGGTCGGCTCAAAGACCCCCGTCTCAATGGCAACTCGGACCTCGTTAGGCCACGCACTGAATGGAGGCTTGATGGGCTCGAGCATTCTGGTCTCGTGGGCGCCCTTCGCTTGTCTGGCCTGGTGCTTTGCCTTCGCCTCCTCCGCAGTGGTCTGGGCCTGGAGGAGCTCCGGTGTGGGCCTCCCCCAGTCCGCGCCCAGCTTATCCAGCAGTTTTTCGCGGAAAAGGTCCAAGTCCAAATTCTTGAGGAGTAGGCCCCCATCGCCTCCTCCATCAATGGCCCCTCCTTGAAGCTCGTGGAGGACCGCCGCGGATCGCTCCACCGCTGCCACCTGGTCTGCCTTCTTGGCCTCCTCCTGGGCAATGGTGGTGGCGTTGAGCCGGGTCTGGATTTTGAAAGCCTTCACCGCCGACGGGTGGAAGGCCCTGCATTCCTGGCCCTCTTCCTTGTCGCCCGGCAATGGAGGCCTCTCCCCCATTGGGGCCGTCAGGAAATCCTCGTCCAGCTCCATGGGGCAGTTTCTGATCACCGCCCGGACCGAGGAGGGGACAAAGTCCGAGAAGCTTGCCTGGTCCGGGTTCTCGCATGCCATCGGGTCGGTGGCCAGCTCGCTGACATCCACCGAGGCGCTGAGCTTGAGGTCGCGGGCCCGGTCCGTGTCAGGGCCATCGGCACCTGCGGACCGAGCCGCCGTCCAGACCGCATTGCCCTGGTCATCCACCGTCAACTGCCAGTGCGTGCCCGCCATCTCCAGGGTGGCCGAGTTGGTCGCCATGTCAATGGGCTCCGTCTTCTTGCCGCACCCCATACACTTCCTGGCGCCCTTCTTCACCCAGGGCATGGTGCAGCAGGGGCAGATCCAGGATGTGGGCTCCTTACCCAGGGGGCGGTTCTCCAGGCCCCCATACCCCAGGCCAGCGCGCTTGCCGACCTGCTGTCCCGGGGTGCTGAGCCGGGCCTCATGCTCATACTTCATCTTGGCGATGTAGAACGCCTCCACCACACGCTCCAGGCCCCCCTGCTTGAGTTGGGGGCCCTCAAAGCCTCTCAGGAGCCGCTGGACGTCCTTGGCCTGCAGTCGGCGGAGCCTAGTGGCCGTGGTCGCATCAAAACACGGGAAGTCGCCCGCCATCTGGTCATCGCTGAATTGGTAAAGGCCCTCAGAGACTTTGAGGGCCTTGGTGAAGACGCTTCCCCCCGGCGGGGGGGCTGCGGGGTCCTCATCCTCCTCCGAGGACGCCTGCTCCCTGACCTTCGCCATCAGATCACGGCGTCTCTGCCACTTGGTGTCGGACATCGGGAGCTCCTCCTCGTCTTCCGCCAGGAGTTCCTCCATGGGAACATCCTTCTCCGGCGGGTCTAGGAGCTCCAGGAACGCCCCTGGGGGGCGTGTCAGGGCCTTCGGCACCTGCGCCACCCCAGGGGCTGAGTCTGCCATCAGCTCGTCCTGTGCCTTGCGCTTGGCTGGGATGAGTGGGGCCTGCGGCGCTGGAGAAGAACCGCTCGTCAGGTGCCTGAGGGACCTCAGCAGCCAAGACGGTCCATCCTTCTTCCTCCTTCTTCACGAGGCTTGCCAGGTACTTCGCCATGGAGGCCTTTGCCTTCGCCTTGGCCTCTGCAACCGCGGCACCAGCGTAGGCGGGGGCGTACATGGCTTTGATAGGAGGGGAAAGAAAGATTTCAGATTACAAGACAGAAGGTCAGAGTCCACTTGAGCCAAAATGGTGGCCCAAGTGGACACTTATGAAGAGTCAAGACAAGCGACCACCTGCGGTTAACGCTTTAGCCCAGAAATGGAATGAAACCCAAAAAACAAGAACCCCCCTGGTTTCCTTTGAGGGAATCCCCTTCCGGTTCATTCCCAAAACCCGGAAGATGGAACCTCCCAAGATGAACCTCCCCAAGGATGAACCAAATCTTGCACCTGAAATGGGCTCAACACGAATCCTGAGGTGTAACAAAATAAGCCACCTAGCTGCTACAGGCCATCCACGGTATGCATCAACCAAGGCTCCATGTACGCCAGAACATTACAATGCCTCCCCCCTCCCCGGCAGCGGTCTCGTGAGGCCGGCTGGGGAATATATTGGCAGCACCCACCAGATTCAGGTTTGGGGGAGCCAACACCCTGTTTAATCATATTCAAAAGGTACCCCCCTATTAATCCACCACCCCGGGCAAATCAAGTAGGTCAACATCATTGTTTAAACAACCGTTGTTTAAGCAGTTTGCCCTTCCCTGACTGAAATGCAACCCGAGGATCCAAAATATTGAACCGCACAGACAATCAAAAAGAAGACGCGTGAAAGAGTAGAATGCTGCCCTGATGCAACACAACTGTAAGGACACAACATGACAAGGGGGTTTTAAAGTGTTTGTTTCAGTCCCCGTGCAGAAGGAAAGTGGGTACACATATGATCGGCCCTGGTAGCAAACAGCGCCTTTCTGGTACCCTCCCGAAAAACAGCTCATAGAACCTACACAGGGGTTCTAGAAGACCATTTTCCTAACGGGACACTTGTGCCAGGTTCCATGCTTATTTTGGGAGGGTAGCTTGAAAGTTGCTCGAGCACGGTCGAAGGCGGGGGCGAAATGATGGGACACCAGCTTTCTGGTCCCAGAGTGGGGCCCGTGCTCCCGAAAAAAGCACACTCATATCAGGTACTGAGACGTACAGGGCTCCACGTTGCAGTCTTTTTGTTTCCCTAAACTGTTGGGCTTGTTCCGGGATGTATATACATATAAATAATGACAACACAAAATAATAACATCTATATATATATATATGTATGTATATATATATGTATGTATATATATATATATATATGTGTGTGTGTATGAATTGTTCCTAGGCATGCGGAGTTTTGGATGGGGACAGAAAACAGCAACTGGATATGGGTCTGTCTTTCTTTAGGGCCCCCGAAGTGGTGGTATGGTATTCCTTTTGGTCCTCTCAAACCACCAGAAGAAGAAAGGTACCCTCAAGAAAGACGCCCATGTGACAAGGCGGGTGGGGAGCAGTCGACAAAGCCCGGGTCCCCTTCGTAGGACCCGGAAATGCACTCCGAAACCCGAAGCCAGCAGACCCGCCTGGCCTCTCGGTCATCATGGCCCCGGCAAACTCTGCCCCCCGCGTTCGCAGAAGATTTGACTGCAACGGGGCCTCCTTCGGATGGGCGCATGAGTGGAGTGACAAGCCTTGTTCCGAGTTCCAAAGCAGAAATGTACCGATCCCTCCCACGTCCATGGCACCTGACAGAGGGTCCCAGGGTCCCTGAAAGAGGAAACTGATCTTCCTAGTACCCTCGCACAAAAGCTACGTTAGTGGGAGGAAGGGGCTTAAAAAAGAACCTCTACAAAGAAGGCGGCGGAGGGTCTCGGGGGGTGGTGGGGTGCCTGATTGTTCATGCCCCCTTTGCTCCCTGCTGGCCAGTCCACCCAATGTCAAGAGCTTCAGCAAGAAGCACACATCTCCCCTGCACACATCCTACGAACCAAAAAGGATAGCCAGACTTTCTGGGTACTTCTAGCGGTATTCACCGGATAGTACAAGAAGACCTGTTCCTGCTTTGAGGGACAAAACGAGTTGCTTCAGGGCCAGAAAGAAAGGCAAGGCAGCGTCTCAATCGAATCGAGCATGGTGCGCCAGCCAGCCTTTGCAATCCGCGCCTAGTTTCATTGTGCGCACATTGCTGCATTTGTTCAATTTGATTCATTCCTCCAAGCGAGCAGACCATACACTTGCTCAACTTGCGGTAGTCTGAAGGGGCCATAATGCTGATACTGGACCACGGGGTCCGACAGTTTAGGCTAGCGGAAGGGTGAATAGGCAACCCAAGCACAGCTCTCCTAGTATCATAGCTATGTTCTCAGTTTCGGAATGGGATGCTTAGGAATGTTTCGGATTCTTCCGGGCCGCGCTGTCAGCTTCTGGCTGCCTTTTAGGGGAACATCCTGTTTTGTTTCTTCTTCTTCTTCTTCCTCTTCTTCTTCTTGTTTTTTTTGGCGGGGGGGGGGGGCGGAATCTGAAATTCACACAGTCAAATTCAGTGCCTTTTAAGGCATCCCCTTAACTCACTTCCTGAGTGGCCACTAAAATGGGTGGGCAGGGTCCAAAAGTGAAAAGCCACAAACAGTGACCCAAACCCGCCCGCCTCGTTTCGGCTCGTTTTGGCTCGGCGCTTCGAATTCGCGCTGTGGTGACTTCGGTCAGATATGGGTGTGGTTCCTTCTTCTTGGAACCGCGTTTGGTTGTACAGGAAATCCCTTGGCTTCCATTCTTGGTGTGCCCCCGACTTTTAAGACACACCAAGTTGGGTCCTGGCGTTTCACCACGTCCCCCAGCACTGCCATCTCCACGAGCCGGGGGTTAGCGATCACGATGTGCTCCTCCGTGCTCAGCCTCCGGCCAGGCGCTAAGTCCGGTGATTCAGAAAGCGGAATGCATGTGGGGAAAGCCTGGGGGCCCCACCGAAAGGAGCCTCTTTCTGACCCCTAAGAAATGGTTGGTGACCTCTTTGTTTTGGGGGGCGGAGTTAAAAAATGCACTTGGTCCGAAAACTTGAGATATCCTGCAATAAGAATTGGATCCTGAAGTGGAGGGCCTACATCGTCATGGTGATCTCGCTTTTGCCCCCAAATCGGTGAGCTATATGTCCCCCTTTTGGTGGCTTTGAACATTACCTTTTTGGCATATTTGAAGTGAGTTCCTTTGGAAAATGTAGGGATCCTTGCCACCCCTCCCCTCCCCATGATGAAAGCAAACGCCAGTTAGGCATACCATCTACAATCACCCTGGAATAGTGATAGCCAGGGCGAGGAAGAGGCCTCAGGCATAGCCTCACCCAACTTTGGCGAAGGCTGACAGCAACAGAAAACAGCTGTGGGCATGGCACCTGGGATCCAAGCCTTGACATTATCGCTGGGCGGTGGGGTGAAATCGTCTCTTTGACAGTTGGGCTATCCAAATCGCGGGACCCAAAGGATGTCCTGTTGAACCCAACAAGGGAAATGTCTACTCCCCCGCCACAAAAAAAAAAAGTTCCCTTTTGGAACCTTAACTAAGTATGGCTGCCAAAATCAAGGAAACCAAAAGGTCAGATCCGGCCGATGCGCTTAAAAATATATGTCCACCCAGTATTATTCGGAAATCGTTTTTTTTTTTTTTTAAAGGGCCCAGGTGTGCATCAACCTTAAAGGGGCGCCTCTGACCCCAGGTCTCAAACACTTCGCCCAGCCCGAAAACAATTGATCGCCGCGCGGCAGCTCTTCTGGCCGCACGGCGGGGTCCACGTGGAAAGGGAACCGCAGGAACCTGAAGCTCGAGGGACCAGGAGGACCCGTACGGTGGTTGCGAAATCCAGAAATCGCACCACTTTGAAACCATGGTTGAAACCTTCGTTTGTTGGTGTTTGTTAGAATTTGCAGGGGAACATCATTCCAGGGTTTCTTGGCTGGTGCAGAATTTCGCCCATCACAGTATTGACTACGTTGGTCTGGGAGTTAGCCTTACCCCTGGCATGGTGGCTTCAAACAACGTGTTTTGATTGTTGCAGAAAAACTAAAAAACAACAAAAAACATGCTAACAACAGCGAAGTTAGCTAAGCGGTTAATGTAGGTTGGTACAGCCCCCATAAAACCCAGTTGACGACCAGTTAATAACCCCCTTGCAACATCTTGTAACTGGGGTTGCCAACCATGTAGCTTGCTCCCAAACCATCTAAGTATGGGTACCCCGTTGAGCTTCTAGAATTGAGTCTGTCTTTTTGTTAAAGCTCAGTACCCCTTTGGTTGGTCTTAAAGGGAACCCAAAGGAAACCATCATTTTTTTACTAGGGGGTTCCCCTAAAAAGACTCATATTACTTTGTCGATTCCATGTTAATCTGGAGGAGTATGTTGGAAAAAGTCGGGGCACGTGGGCTTCGGAGTCCTTAGGGTGACCTGTAAAACAAGCCCAACAATTGGGTGTCATATTCTCAAATTACGTGACAATTTCATGGGTACCCTCCCCCCTCAGGTGAAGAGTAAATGATGAAGATTGAACGTTGCACACATAGGAGGGCTAAACCACAAATGAGGGGTAGATCAAGGATAAACAGTTGCTCTGAAAACCTGGCACATGGGATCAAGGGACCTAAATGAAGCCCAAACCACTTTCTGCCCTTTCGTCAAACTCTGAAAGCAACCCTGAGTAGTGAGCCCTGTCGAAAGACGATTGAACGGCTCCGCCTGTCATGTCTCCTTTTTAGCACGCCTGATGGCTCAAAAGAAACCTCTCTGGGCCAGATTCGACCCTCGAAAAATCTTCCCAAAAACAAACATTTGACATGGAACCAGGAACCGGTCCTTTAAAAGGAAAATGGTCTTCCAAGGAGCCGGTCCCTGCGCAGGTTCTGCGTTGATTTTCGGAGGGTAACTTGTTGCTAAAGGGAACGAGGAACACCGAAAGGGCTTAAAAAGTTGAGAAAAGGCGATGTCGCAAATTTCCGGGAAGAAAAAAACTTTGGTTCGACTCCCCGGTACATACCGAGAAACAACAGGAAACCAGCCAGCCATGGCTTCCTTCTTAGGCGGTGCGAAATGGATGTTGTCCAGTGCCAAAAGTAAAGAGGACTTTGGGCCATGAACTATCCACTTGCGCCGTCCAGGAGCCGAGGCTCCCGGCACGTTGGCCGCCGGACCCGGGCGGTCGGCCTTTCGGTCGTCGTCATCCTGCGGCTTTCAGAGGCACTCGGGTTTACACAGCGCAAGCGGTGGGTTCCGATGCGTGAAACTCAATTGCCCAGTTTTGAGCTGGAAATAAAACATGATCACCTTTCGGCTTGCCATGACTAAGCATGGTTGCCAAAAAGGAGAAACAAAATTGTCAAAAAAAGTGTCTCTCGAAACAGGGGACCCTTCCAGATGGTTGGTTTCCTGTTCGTTTTCCTCTGAAACCCGGTTCCCCTATTTTGAGACAAACCCAATCCGGACAATTCAAGACTTCCGGTCTCGTTTGCTTAGCAGGGGCTCAAACCCCCAAACCTATCGAAAGTGCCAACTAAAGTTTACATCTGAACATCGGAACGTGGACTGTGGCTTTTTCAGGATCGTGGTTTCAAAGGAAAACCCCCTCAAGAAAAAGAAAAGAAGATGAAATCACCACTGGAGGTCTGGGGGCAAAAGCCTTTGGCTTGTGTTGGTTTCTGCAGCTTGGCTTTGCAGGATCTGTTCTACGTGTATGGCTTGCTTGCCTGCCTGCCTGCCTCTGTGCCTGCCTCTGTGCCTGCCTGCCTGCCTGCCTCCCTGCCTGCCTGCCTGCCTGCCTGTCTGCTTGCTTGTTTGTTCGCTTGTGTTTCTGTTCATACTGATTGTGTGATTGTTATTGTTGTGCGGTAGCGCGTTTGTGTCTCTGCTGCGTGCTTTGTGGCCTTGTTTTGCCGCATCTGGACTTGTTGTGTCCTTGCTTGGTTGCTTGCTCCCTCCAGGGGCCCGACACCTCCGCAAGAAACAGCCCTCAGTTCAAGCCTCATTCGGCAACTTTGTTTGCGCGGCATTTGGCGCTAGTTGGGTGTGTCTCTGAATGGGGGGGGCAGCCAAAATGGACGTGTTCCTTTACTTTGCCTGCAAACCAAGCTCACAAAAGAGCACCAAACAATCATACCTCCTGCAAGAAAGCTGAACCCCAATCCCTTTCGGGGCAAGGACATGTAACCATCCCAGCCTTCCCCCCCCCCCCCCGCCCGTTTCCCCCGCAAACAAACAAAAAGAAAACGCCTTGGCGCCATAGCGGATACCCAGCACATAGGAGACTTGATGCGGATCAAGCTCCTCGCGGATTTTTCTTCGAGCACTGTAGCTGAACTGCTCCTTTTCCCAAGGTCGATCTTAAGGAAAAGCCGGATTTGTCCAAAGAGGTCTCTCCATCTGCAAAATGGAAACGGGCGCTGGACAAATTCCTGCTAAGTGTTGGTTGAACCTGCTTGATAATTGTTGGCTGACTCACTTCCTGAGTTGTTGACCGAAACGAGTCTGCACGTAGCATCTCCCACCAAACGGTTTTTCCCCAAATCATATGATGTCAAGGAATTCAGGGAGTGATTAAATGCTGCCCCAGGACAATAAATGCTGGGCACATCCATAGGGTGTGTCCCTCAGATAAGTTTCCGGAAGATTCCATGACAGCCAAAACGCACATTGAAAGTCCGGAAAGTGATCTTTAGTGTCCTGGCACCTTCCGTGGAATCACCTGAAGGGTAAACCTGTGGATGGACCAAATCCACTTCGCACCATTGGAAATGGATGGAACCCTATAAAACCTAGAGTAAAGTACCAATCCCAACTGGTGCAAAATGGATTTCATCCCTCATCAGTTTGGTTGAGCTTGTGTTTTTCCCCTGTCAACTCAAAAAACAAAACCCACACACCACCCTCAAGCCCAAACCCCCGCCCCAACGAACCGTTGGCTTCGCCCAGAGGACCGGAGGGGTTGGGAAGTTGGTTTGGCCCCACTCCACCCAAGACGCAAACATTCCCCCCCTGCGCCCCCACAGAGCCCGGCCGCCAAAAGATGTTCCTTTTCGGCTCAAGTTTCTTGCCAGGATTCGGGCAGTTTGGGGCTGGCGAAACCATGAACTGGGCTGTTCAAAATGGTGGGTTGGCCAATCCCAAGCTCAGGCAAACTACTAAGACACCCCTTCGTAACTCCTGGATCTTGTGGATTGCGTTTGGCCAAAAAGAAGAACTAGCTGGTTTCCTATGATGACCTTGCAAGATCCCAAAGCTGTTTCGCTTGGCTTCATGGCAGTGAGCTCTATTTGATCGCAAGGAAAGCTTTGAGCTCCCCTTGTTGTCGAGTCCGCTTTTCAGATCTGCTTGCTTCTGCATCTTCAAAGGATTTTGCCGTGCCCCGTAAAGTGAACATGTCTTCGGGTTCTCAAAATTACTATTGGGGTGGTGCTGTCCTTTAGCTCGGCCACCGTTCAGCCCTAAACCCAGGATGTAAAAGGTTCTCTTTATTCGTCGTTTTAGTCAAGGGCGAAGATGTGAGATGCTACCAAATGTTGACCCAGTTTGGCCATCATTTGGCTCGGGAAATTTTGAGGATGTCACTAGGAGCCAGTGCCGTCCAAAAGGGGTGTATTTGGGGATCCTTTCCAGAAAGCCACCACGGCGAAACACGTGAAACAAGTCACCAGGGTGAAAGCAGTCGGCAGAACTGCCACAAATGATTCACACATGGGTGGCTTGTTTTTTTTTGGGGGGGCGCCCCTTTCTGGGGGCGTGTCTCAAAGGGAAACCAAAAGGACACCACCTGTTTGGGCCCCTATATTGAACCACACCCTTTCGAGGGCAAGTAAAGGGGGACTCACTTCCTGAGTAGATTGCCCCCAAGAAATTGGCAAATTGTTATTTACCACTCTGTTCCAAACTCAAAAAGGCTAAAGTAAACTGCCACCATGGTAAAAACCCAAAAAAGTCCGAAACGGAACTCAGGGAGTGAGCGGAGTTGTGCCATCTGCTTCCCGGATTTCTTACTTCACCCATCTGGTCCCGCGCCAATTCGAAGCCGCAAGAGCCCGAGATCGAGCGCGGCGCCTGCCTGCAGCAGGTCGTCCAGGGAGGCCATGACCGGGGAGAAGAGGAACATGTCCCAGCCGTGGCTCACGGAGATCACCTCAACGTGTTTGGTCTGTCAGATGGGCTACATAAAACCAACCCAAGCACATGAGCCAAACAAAAATCTAATCGCTTTTGGCGGCCGCCCACTAAAAAGGAACAGAACCAAACAACTAAACACATGCCAAGAGCAGTGAAGGCAAATAGCTACTGATGGACCATTCACGGAGGATCATCCATTCCAGCTGGCGCGGAGCGGGTTTCGTCCACATCCTTCACAAACCAGACCTGGAATTGGCTCCCTAATCCTAAGGAGCCCCAGCCGGGCCGATTCTCCAATCCGCGAAGTCCATTTCGCACCACTGGGGAGAAACCCTGGAATGATTCGATTCGGCTGTAAAATCCAACAAACAATGGGAAACCCAATTTTCATTTCGTGGTGCGAATTGGATTTCGTCCGTAGGGTTCTCTTCAAAGGTCCCTCCATGGGACCTAAGGCATGGGTTTTCGTGAGCGAGAGAGCGTGGACCAGCTCACAAGCCAACGATAATTTACGTAAAGTTTTCCACTGCCCCAAGGCAACATGGGCGTGCCTTGTTTTGAGGGTACCTTGTTGTTGTGGTTGTTTTAAAGGGAAACCAAAAGGAGAACAGCCGTTTTGGGCACCCCTAAAAGAGTCACGCCAACATGTAGAATCACGAGGCCTTTGTTCAATTGGAACTTTCTGGGCTAACTCCATGGGCTGAACATCTAAGTGCAGTTGATTTCTTACATAACATAGCGTAAGTGAAACTGAAAATGAACTCAGGAAGATGACAAAGCCCCGAGTTGCATACCTCCAGGTATCAATGTTCTACCAAGGTCTTTGGAGCCCTTTTTCATACCATTTCCCATCTGGTTTAACTGGTGGTTTGCCAAGGAAGAACTGATCGATCCCTATGGCATCAAGATGCCAGAGATTGGTCATCTCGCCCTGAGATGTCTGGGCAAGCTTTGCACAAACGGGAAAACAAGGAATATTCCCACAGGGCCCTCATGGGTCGCTCGTGTTCCTGGTGCCCATCCTGCAAATAGATGCAAATAGTGGGAACGGTCACATTGACCCCGGATTAACCAACCCCAGTTTTCTTTCTTTCTTTCTTTTTTTTTGGGGGGGCCCTGGATTTAGTGGCGAAGCATCACTTTGGAGGGGCACCCCCCCTTGTTAGATTACTAGTGTATTGATCCGGGGTCAACAATACCACTTTAGGTTGAACAAGGACGGCGCTGAACTGGAAAGCCCAGACCTCAGTTGCGAGGGCACCCCCTTGATGAAACCATGTTTCGTCAAGGCTGATCACCATAGGTGACCTTTGGGAAAAAATAGATGCCCCTGGCAAATGGAATGGATCCAATCCAAGCCAGTGGAACCCATCCATTTCCAGCCAAACCTAAAAAATACCTATGGAGTCGAGTGATCCCTGTTTTACTGTGCCAGGTCCAAAGTGGGAAGGTCTTCCTTTTGGCCATTTGGCTTCCCTTTAAAAACCACACACGAGGGGTACCAACTCCTCAAAAAAGACGAGCCCAACCAACTCGAGCCCCAGAACTCGAATCCGAACGAGGCGCCCATTGTGCGTTCTGGCGCGCCCGCTGCCAGCAGTGCTGCTGCACCAAGGTCTGCGCCAGATGGGCCGTGGAGGTCTTGTAGCCCGCCAACGCATAGAGGTCACCTCGACTCGATGTGATGATCCGGGGGCAGAAAAAGAGGGAGGTGGTTGGCGGCAAGTCTTAGTAGGTGCGGCCAAACTATCTGGCTTTATATGTTCTTCTTTGTGACAGCTACCTTGGGTGGTCTTTGGTGACGTCGGTCTGCCAAAAAGGAAGACTCACGTTAGCACCATTTTTGCGGAACACATTATATGACTGATCCTGACAAAACATCCCCACCAGGTTCTTGTGGTATGGCTTGGTTTTCGAACAGAGTTTCCTATTTTTCCTGAACACATCACCCTTCCAAATGAAACTCACTTGACATCGGCAACCAAAAGGCGATGTTACCACCAAGATTGAACATATCGGATCCGGATCCCTGTTCTTCAGCCAGTTCTGTGTGCAGAAAATCAGAACTCAGATTGGTTTCATGATTAGTACAACCTAATTATGTGAATCAAATCGGAAAAGGGGTTTTGGAGGAGAGGCCGTCCCCTCATCAAACTCAACCAAGGGTGTATTTCTCCGGGGTCAACATTACGGGACAAATGGCTGCGTTTTTTGAGGGTACCCTTTAAAGGCTTGGATTTTTTTGTCGGGAAACCACATTCGGAAAATCTGGATCTCACCAACAGTTTTTGTTGATCGTGCCAGGCCAAGAGTTGCTATCCTCCGGGGTTTTGGCCTTTCAGCTTCCCTTCAATTTGTTGTTTGGAGCGTGGATTGGATGTTAGGTTGGTACCTGTTGGTTTCAAAAGGAACTGGGCAATCCAAACCACCAACTAAGGGTTGCCTGAGCCTGTATTTTGGAAGAAAAGCACGTTCTTCCGAAGAACCGAGGCCCCATATCCAATGGAAGTCGGGAGGTTTCCCATGAGGAAAAACAGTCTTCCACCCGCCTGTCAGCTTCGTTCCAAGGAGTATGCAAAGGGGAAAAATCCGGATTGCTTCGTTTCATGGATCTGAGACTGGGGGGTCAAGGCCCTTTTACATGTGGTCAGCTGCACATGGCCCGTGTGCCCCTTGTGCACTGTCATCGAACCAAGCTATCGCTGTGAAACGTGCTTGTTCATTTCAGGCCTCGTGCTTCATGGCAATCTGCGCCAGGTTCAATAGTTCAGAAGCCTGGAATAGTTGTTGAGTGTGCCACGCGTTGACTGGCATCACTCACAGCATTAAAGAGTCCAAACTACTGACTACTGTGAGTGGACGAAATCCTGCACCACTTGGGATAGACGAAACCCTAAAAAATATTGGGATAAATCACGGTGCCAAATGGATTTTGTCCATCAAAAAAGGAACAGCATCCATGCTCAGCGGCACAGGATTAAAACCAACTTGGTATCCACCTTTTGGACGAGTCCCCAGTTGTGACAACTACTGGTGGGGGTTCACAAAATGGCGACTCGTTCAATGGGTCTGCCAGCATCCCCATAGGCCACAATAGGCGTGTGCGCGCATATACATGATGCTTGCCTAGTCATCTATTCCTTGGTTCATAGGTTTATTTGTAGATATGCGTTGCAACCATATCACCAGGTGGTGCCAGCTACCCGACGAAAAGCAAGTGGCTACTCCGCAACATGGAACCCCAAATCTAGAACCATGTCTGGTTTTGCCAAAATCCCAAGCCCTAGGGCTCCAGGGGACCGCGCTTCTTGGTATGAACTTCTTGTTCGCCCCCAGGTCTAAGCCTTTTGGTGCTACGCTGATTCGAGAATTGTCAACAGGAGGGCTCCCCTTGAAAGCTGCCTGTAAAAGGCGAAGAAAGGGAAGGGTCCCAAAAGGAACAGGCCATGTGCTTGATAAGCCCCATCGAGAAAGCCCCCAACACACCGGCCCCCCAAACGCACCTCCAGTTTCGGTCTCTGTGTGCGTGTCTTAAAATAGGCGCTGGTGCTCCCTTGATTTCGGCTTCAGGGATCGATCCGAGCGATCCGAGCGATCCGACCTCTCCCTTCGGACCAAGTTGCCCAAGGGCGGGATCCGCGAAATGGAGCCCTCGTAGACCAGGCGCCCGGCACCTTGCAGCTCCTTCCTCAGTTACCCCGCCTGTGGAAAGATCGAGATCTCTGAGACTCTGAGAGCTTCGCATTCATTCCTTTTCGATGATTCGAAGACATGGCTTCCGAGCCATTTATCGCTTCAAGGAAACTACCAGTAAATTGCAACTTTTGAAGGGCAAATCCAGTGAGTCCTGCAGGGTGGGAAAAGTCCAAAATGGACCATCATCGTGGAAACTGGGCTGCTTTAGGGCAGAGTTCCAGAAGCATGTTTCGAGAGCCTGCAGGAAGTTCGCGTGGAAACCTACAGCTAAGGACCTATTGGTGAAAGACACTGCAAGTAAACAAACCTGCCGAGTATAAGTTGCATCCTTTCCTAGCTCTCCGTACCCACCACAGGGGTGACGTTACATGAGATTTAGGGTTGGGTGTGTTTGGGGGGGGGGGTGGAACAGGGTACGTAGTTGTATAGTGGCTGTATGTGGGTGTATCTGTTTAAAAGTGAAGGATCCCAGTTACCAAAAGAGTAGGCAACCAACAAACTTTTTTGCTTTACAGGGTGGCAAGCGCTTGGTTACCTACGAAGCCAGGCAAATGAAATCACTGGGCAAAGGAAACGCAGCGGTCCCCAAGGCCAGTCGCCGAGCGTCACGAAGCCCACATCCCGGAAGGAGCCGTCCAGGTCGTAGAGGTAGATCTCATCCACCCCCAGCTCACCTGGACGGCTTCATAAACACTTCATGCCTTGTGTGCGATCCATTTTTGGGGCAGAAAACAAGATATTCTCCCACCCTTTTCACGTGGAGCCTGAGGTTCGGGGGGTCCTGGTTTGGAGCATACTCCTTTTAACATGTACCCGGGCCCCTGTCAGGTTCCATGTTCATTGGTGGGAGAAGGAATTCCTCTCAATTGCAATGCGTCCCAAAAATCCGGCCAGTTAGAAAGTCGAGAGCATGGCTAGTAGGAACCCAGTTTGGCGGGAAAATTGACAAACCAAAACCAAGAACCACCTAGAAAATGGAACCCAGTTGGAGAAGCAACGCCCCTTGTAATTTTGCGTGAGTGGCGTTCTCTTGCTCAATGAGGTTCATTGGTACCCCGCGGGTACTTCAAGCACATCTTGGAACTCCCCAAAAAGGTCCTGGCAAGATGTCACCTTTGGGAGGATGCGTGTCCAGCTCCATTTGCAGACCCCTCCAAAGGAAACATGGAAGCCACACCTTCAAAGAGGTCCTGGAAAGCGCAATTCTGACCCCATACCTCGCCACCCAGCAGGAGCATTTTCAGGTGGGTTGCTTGGAGCTTCTGTGGCAAGCATTTACTTCCCTCCCTACTGAAGGAAAGGTACCCATTTCGGGATTGATTTCATAAGACACCCCGTCCCCAAAAAAGGCAAACAGGTCACCGGGAATCTTCCAACTTGCCTATATCCCCAGGACAAAAACAAGTCCAGTGGGGATAGATCTCCTTGAACGCCTACTGGGTGAAGAGAACGTAAAGTCCTGGAACGTTGTATTCACCACTAAAATGGTCCAAACCCAAAAAGTGACAAGTCCGAACTGGCACTCAGGAAGTCAGAACAGTGTTGCTCCGAATTTCCTGGCACACGAAGCAGAAACGGAAACCCAACATCTACCACTGAGGTGTGGTCACCTGGGCAACGAAGCCACATATTCTGCCCAGTAGTAAGTAGTCATAGTTTCCTTTGAAAAGAACACAAAGAAATAAAAACAAGCATATTCTGCTGAGTTAAAACAACATTTGCAAAATGCTAGCTTCTCAAACAACAATGTCCTATGAATGGACAGTTTCCTCGATGGGAAATAGAGCACCAACTGGCCTCTACAAAAGAAAAACACGCGTATTCTTCAGCAGCTGGGAGGAATTCCCGGACTTCCGCGGAAAAGGCGCTGAAGTAGCGAAACCACAGCTCCGCGTGGTGCGGCGCTCGCTTCTCCAGGCCCTCGAAGTCCCAGACCTGCTGCGTACACAGCGCCGTCATCACCTGACGAGCTCAGCGCCAAATCGCTTTTGCCCGGGGTCCTGGAGGAAGGGGGGTGGGTGGGTGAGTTGACCATATCTACGTATATATATATATATATGTGTGTATAGAAATATATTCATCTATTGATTCATCTATTTATTTATACATGTATGTCTTTACATGCACATGTTCATGTACATACATGTGTACATTCACAAGCACACCTGAGTTGAAATGAAGCGGAGATAGGATGGTTGAATCCAATCTGCGAATTTCCAAAAGTTTACCCCCATCGGCGGAATCGCTCACTAGAGAAAGATAAGCAGATCATACAGTTGCTTCCCGCAAGCCATGTCCTAGCGGGAGACGGTCAATACTCGCGCACATCACTCTTCCAACCAATTCCGTCCAGGCTTTTCGCAACATGTTTTAATCGAGAGGGCGCCTCGGTGAATGCACAAGGGTGTGTGAGTGTGTGTGTGTGTGTGTGTGTGTTCAGGGCTCACTGGATTTCCCCAAATCAAAAGTAGCAACTTACCGGTGGTGTCCATTGACATTGCCACTTTTGGAGCTTCCAGCATGGGAAATGGCTCGGAAACCTGGTGTTCTTTTCAGAAAAGAAAAGCGCCCCAAAAAAAACGACGAAAAACACATCGCAGAGGTTCACCCGGAGCCGCCAACCTCCCCCCTCCGCCCCGGGTGCCCCCCAAGGCCTGGGGCCGCCTGTCCCGGCGCAGGGGCACCTCAAGCTCCAGCTTCGGCATCTCCCGGCGCGACAGGGCGCTGACGAGGCGCACCGCCTGTGGCGCCTGCGAAGCTGAGCCCAGGCCGGTGGTTTGGAGCCCGGTGGCTCCCGGTGGCTTCGTCAATTTGAGTGGGTTGGATTGGTTTGGGGGTGGGGGTTGTTTCATTGGGCCTCAAGGCCAACCACCTCTCCAAACCAACAGCTCCGGGTGTGCTGATGAGTACCAAGTGAGTTGTGGTCGAGGAACCCATCATGGAAGCATGAAACCATTCGCCAAGGTAGTAAGTTGTTGCGAGCCTAGGATAAGCCACTCATAAGTTATAAGCTCCACACCATAGAACTAACCTGTCATTCTTGTGGCTGGCTTCCTGCCAACCCTGGACCTCTACAAAGAGAATTGCGTGTACAACTTTCGTTGTGGCTGTAAAGCTGTCACGCACACTTGTTCTTGCCTGCCTTGAGGGTAGTTCTTCCGGGAAAGTAGGAACCCTCATAGCAGATGTCATGTCAAAACAGGTCCGAGCGACGCCGCAGAAACACGTTGTGTTTTCTCACATAAGCCCTTCACGAGGCCTCGTCAGCTCTTGCCCTGGGTTCTTCAAAAATGCAGCGATCCGACCGAAAGTGGGACACCAGCAATTACAAGGCTCATCTGGCATACTTCAGCAGTATCGGTTTCCTCTGGTCCAGAAGGGGAACCCCTGTCAAGTGCCATATTAGTGAGAGGGAGTGAAAAGTTCGACTTTGAACAAACCAGTTCTTGGGGTGACACAACCCCCGCGCTCCCACCGCCCCACCTCCAGATCCCCGCTGGGCGCTTCGCAGCGCACGAAGAGCATGGGAGGGTCCTCCCGGGCGATATTGTAGCGGCCCCATTGTCTCCATTTCCCCCTAGGACCCAGAAATAATAGGTGACCACCTTTTAGGGCCACGACTAAACATGGACCAAACATGGAAAACCAAAGGTTAAAAGGATTCGGCAAGTTGAGTAGCAGCACATTTGTTAGCCAACAACTACAGCAAACTGATCCTATTTTGTTTTACACATCTTCTGGAACTTGGAGTATGGTGTTTGTTTGTTTTTTTATATATATATATAAAAAATATATATATATATATATTTGGTGGGAGGGGGAGGAAACACTCGCAGCAGTTTCGTGATTCGTTTGCAGCTGTGGAGCCCCCGATTTGCCCACAGCAACTTGGAGCCCCCAAGCCAGCCTCCCAAAGACCGCCTTAGAACTGGGCTGGGCCGTTTTAATGTGAGTCTCCTTTTGGTGGGGTGATATTTCAGGGGCAAATTGTCAGGGTACAAGCCAGGGTGCGTCAACCACTTTCAGCTAGCTTCCATTGTGGGCCAAGGAAAACCAGGTTTGAAAACCACATAGGCAGAAGATCCGGAGAGCAGTGGCGGGAAAGCCACAGGCCGTTTCTCATGCAATCAAACCTGTCTTTGTCGAGAATACCGCAATAGCTGACCTTTCGCAACAATTAATGGCCCTAGCAGATGTGGCCTAAAAAACAATCTAAACCAGTGGAACTCATCTATTTCTAGCCAAACCGATCAGAAGGACACCCATGGAATACACCTTCCTGACAAAGGACCGGTCAAAAAGGGACAAGCACAAGTCGTAGCCCCTTGAAACGGAGTCGGCACGGACCGCACCGCACTCGTCTGCGATCCGTTGCTTTGCGGTCAACGCAGAGAAGAGGCCTGCGCAATTGATCGTCCCGTACAACGTGGGCAAGACTTGGGCCTAACCTAGGATGTATGACCTTTCTCTGTTCATCAGTTTGGTCGAGGGCGAAGTTGTTAAGATGGTCCCCAAACGTTGACCCATAACATCCTCTACATTTGGGATGGTTTCTAGGTGACCCACTTGAGTCCCTCGCCTTCATCGACAAAATTGATCTGATCTTGGACGAGTGTTTGGGTGGATCGGGAGCACCCCCCGCTGCTAAAAAACAAAAACACACACACAAAAAAACAAGAAGAGAAGAAACCCCACTTTTTGGTTTTTGATGGAGTCTCGGGCCTCAGCAACACTTTCTGACACCCCGCAGATCAGCAACTCGGATCTGGATTGGTACGGGGAACCCCGGGGCCTTGGTGCCAGGCACCTCTGAGAGCATCGAGTGGCTAAAGACATCACCACGGCTGCGCCGGGTTTCGCCCGCGCCTAGGCGAAGTTGGCCCCAGAATAGGGGTTTCCTTCAACCCTACTTAGGCATATGTAGGGGTTCGCACCCCTAAAAATGGTTGGGGGGGTGTTTGATCCCTTTAAACCGACCTGAGCCATCGGTCAGGTTCCATGTTTGCTGGGATGTCAGGAAATCGGTGCTGTTTCCAGGCTTCTTCCTCAAAATTCAAGCCATCATAACAGAGAATGTCCCTCTAGGAGCATCCCCCTTTTTTGTTTTCAATGTGAAGGTTTATCAGGCGGGGGGGGGGGGGCAATCAGAGGAGATTTCCCCTTCAAAGGTTGATCAATCTGCTGGCGTCCATTGAAACAATCGCCACTTTGGGAGGTTCCAGAAAGGGAATGGCTCGGAAACCCTGGCAAAAAAGGCCAATCATCAAAATGGGATGGGGGGGGTGCTTTAAAACCATTCAAAAGGGTATTCTTGGTAATTGTCATTCCACCCTCAGCCAAGATATCCACCCTTTTCCCCCAAACCTGGGAGCAGTTTATGCTATGCGCTTTCCAACTCCTCCAGAAAGCTGATCCATTTGGGTGACCCTTGGGTTTGAACTGGAGGTTTGGGGGAGCGGGGGGTTTCAGTTCAACCCCTGGTTCTCACAACATTCCCAACCCCCGAGGCACCTAAAACCCGCCCTGAAAGCTGCCCAAACTACTCCAAAGCCTATCAGAAGTGGAGGAAATATCCCCAGCCCATTTGTCTTGCGGGTTCTCAGCAGGACATTTTCGGGAATGACCCCTAACTACCCCTTATGCAAACCCTTGGGCATCCCAAAACGAGGGAACATCCTACAGAAATCGAATCCTTACCCTCAAGTTGCTTGAGCCTCCTGGGGGAGAAAAAAAAAACATATCCAGCGATAGATTCCCTTTAAGACCAACAGGGGGAAAGAAAGCTACACCGCTACACCCGTTCATTGTTCACATTCCTTCCCGTGGGAACCGGGAGTTCATCGCAAGCCGAAGGGGCCGAAAATGAAGAGGCAGTCAAAGTCCCAGAGCTTCCCTTCCTGAGACTCGACTTCGCCCAAAAAGTTTGGCTCAAGGCCTCGACGTTTCTTTCTGAGTCCGAAGGCCGATGAGAAGGTCGTTTCAATGTCAACAGGGTCGGGCCAACTTACATGCCCCAGATGGACTTTGGCAAAGAGGGCAACATGTCTTTGCCAGTTGAATGTGCCGGTTGCTTATCCCAAAGCTGAAGGATTGCTTAGCAGGTATGCGTTCTTGTATGGCTAACTAACGTATGGATAGTGAAACCCAAACATGATTCATAACGGTATCTTAATCTTAACAGTCTTTGTTTGATGCCGTCCAATTTCTAAGTTGCCCGGGCCTGGAAATAAACATTTCACCTTTTGAACCCTTGACTAACTATAGACCAATCCTTTGACAAATGATGTTACCCAACTGTTTACTTAGTTGTACCCAATTTTACCAAGTCCTCCAGTTGGAACTGCCCAAGTGTTTAATCAATGGCTTACTCACGTTTTACCCATTTTCACACCAGTTTGCCAATGTGTTTGCTCAACTTTGCCCAGGTGTTGCCCAGTTGTTTACCCATTTGGTTACCCAGGGTTTGCCCATTTGTTTACCTAGGTGTTACTTGTTGTTGTAAGTTTACGGATGTTTCCCTTTCTGCCCGCTCTCGCCAGCTGAACGCACCGGACCGATCTAACCCCGAGGTATTCTTTCAGATCGAGCCGCGCTGGGCACGCGGAAGTCCGCGCTGTCCAAATCCTGGCGACAGACGATCGAGTGATCGAGTATTCTTGGGAGCCGGGTCATGTGGATTCCACTGACTTAGATTGGTTCTATTCCATTTACCAGGGAAACCCATCTATTTTCTCCAAACACTCACCTATGGTGATCACCTTTTGACGAAACACGGGTCGATTCGCTGACGATCCTTTTTCAACCGAAAGGGCCATCCTTTTTCAACCTAAAGTGGCGTTGTGGACCCCAGATTAATAGATCCATCAAATTCTTTTGGGGTGGAGGGTGGGGTGGAGGCCCCTCCAAAAGCGATCTGAATCTGGACAAGAAGGGGGCAGCTCACACAGTGCCCTCATTTTACACCGCTTGTTTTTTTGTGTTCTCTTTGTGTGGTGGTTTCAAACAAATGGAAGCCGGAGGGAGAACCCGCTGGCTCGAGCGTCAGCCGATTTCAAAGCCAATCCAAAGGGAGATGTTCAACGCCCCCGTGCCTCCCCAGGAAGGGTGTGGAGTCCCCAAATCCATTGTGCCAGCCTACCCCAAGGCGACATCTAACTAGCAAGGTGGGTCCCCAAATCCATGTTTCCAGCCTTCAAGGGAAAATGAAACTAGAAAAGTAGCAAAAGCAGCAATCAAAGGCACCTGCTTTCTCTGCTTAGTGTCGAGACTTGGCTTCATCTCCTAGGATTGTATGGAATTGGCCTAGCGTTGGCTGTGTGCCGGCTCAGGCTTGGATCGCACTGCTCAAGAGATCTCAAGAGAGTCCTTAAACTGCGGGCCTGGCTACCCAAACAAGAACCAGGCCCTTATGGAAGTGGACAGGGCCTTGGAAGACTATGCTCCTTCCCACATTGCCATGGCAACTGACCCAGGGTAGCCCTAAGAGGAAAACCATCTTCCAGGTACCCGGTACCCTCCCACAGGTGCTATGTTTGTAGGGAGGGCATCCATCCCCCTCGTCCAGTGAGCGTCCGGACAACATCCACTTCGCACCAATTGGTTGCTGGTGATAAACCGTTCCAACTGCGTTTGGTGGGAGGCGCTTCCAAGACTCTTTTAAGTGGGGGGTCCCTTCCAACCACCAGCTCGCCAAATAAAGCCGTTCATGGGACCCCCGAAGCCTTCCATTGGCTTTTCCGCTCCCTAGAAACCACAAACATGCCCAGCAGTGAGCCTGGTGAATTCACGCCGATTCAGCCTCCTTGACGGGTTTTACCTCAAATCTTACGCATTTCTTGCCCAGAGTCACCAATCTTCGGAATCCCTGGGCTGAATTCGTGGCAGGGCCCCTCCTTGACGCGATCCGTCTTCTCCCAGACGTAGCGGTGGAAGGCCAACATGCCCTCGGCGTCCGGGCTCCAGGCCACCAGCGAGATCTCCAGCAGGCACTCGGCCGAGTCCACGTCCAGGACGGTGACCTAAACGAGGCTTGGGGATGGCTTTGGGGCTGGTTGGGCGGGGCTTGGGTCCAGAGGTGAGGCTAAGGTTTAGCCCTGGTGTAGTTGGGTTTAGGGCTGGCTTTAGAGGGCTGCTTTAAATGGAAACCCCCCAGTAAGCCCTAAAAACCCGAAAACTGAAGGGGATGGCTGGGAACCACCAAGTCAATAGGCTCCTATTCATACGGTGTGTGTGTGTGTGTGTGTGTGTGTTCCCTCAAGTGATGCCCCCCCCCCACTAAAAGGGCTTACTAATCTGGGGTTCCCGCTTCTGTGGATGGACAGAATCTTGCACCCTGTGGGTGGGTGAGCAAAACCTGGCAATGTTCCGAGCTTCGAACGTTCCATCTGCAAAAAATACAATCATTTCAAGCAACCGGATCCGCACTTACCCCTTTAACACCTCAATGATCTGGCAGTACAAGGTGATCATCTTTTTTGACCTTGAAAGGCGCACCAACGAGTCAAAAGGTCGATTCGAACTGAGGATCCCCAAGTCAAGTGCAGAACCGTTTAATGAAAAAAACAAAAGAAACAAAAAAAGCCGAATTTGTCTCCAAAAGGCCTGAATGGGGCCAAGATGGGCCATCAGACCAAAGACCGGCCATGACTGCACCACTCAACCAAAATCCACCCCCGGAGCCGCCGCCCCCGAAGTCCGCGCGGCATTGAAGCCGCCGCCCACCGACACGGTGGTGGGGAAGTGCGGGGACCTGCGGACGCGTGACGCGTGACGCGTGACGCGTGAAGCACCGAGGGTCCTTGGGACCCAAACTCAGAAGCCTGGAGGATTTCCATGGATTTTTTCGTGGGAGCAAAGTTGGTTCGTTTTGTTGACTTTTGGTTAATGTTTGATGAGTGCTTGGTTGGCTACCGGCAAGAAATCAGGCATTTGAACCAACTTTGCCGCACCCTATAGTTGGATTCCCTGGTGTGCATTTGACACTGGTCATGACTAAACCAAACTAAAAGCATTTACTTTCACCTAAACCAACCCAAGAGGAGCTATGCTCGATTTCCGAATTTGAAGCTTACTAGCCCCCCAACCCAAAATGGTAGGTCTGATGTTGGTCCATATCTAGTGGACCCTTAAACTTTAAATCGTGATCAAACCTCGCTATTCAGAGGGGTCGACCTTCGGGTGGCAACATCTCTTTTGACGTAAGTCAGCTATGTGCAAATTGTCATTTGTTTAGACAAGTAGCCATAAACCAGTGAAGCCGGCCAAACTGAAAGCCCCTGGCAAAAAGTAGGTAGTGGTATGTAATTACTGTGGGTGGACAACATCCGGCACCGCCTAAGAAACCCTGAAATGATGATTTCCTTGTGAAGACCAACAAATACTGGCTTCCCATGGTTTCAAATCCTGGTGCAGGATTTCGTCCATCCAGAATATCAACTCGTGTTCCAGATTGCCGGCCAGAAGTTGTTCACAGGAAGTCGTAGTCCTCCCTCCAGAAAAAGGCGCCTGACGCGGAGTCATTTTCCCTCCCACATGTGCAGGGGAAGTGCAACATGAAACCTGTTCAAGGGCCAAGCATAGGAGGAAAGTGGCCTTGGACAACCCGATTCGCTCCATGGCAACGTCGAAGCCAAACCAGAGCCACGATCGAAATTGCGCCAAGGTTCCCCCAAGAGGACGTGGGACATTTCAAGCATCTCCCCGCCCTCATGCCCTGGTCCCTGCCCAATGCACCATAGCCATGTCTCAATTTTTGTAGCTATGGAACAGGTCACACCAAGGACCATGTCTTATGGAGTCCCTAACAAATGGGTGGGACTCTGAGGAACCCGAAAGGGTCTCGCAACTACCCACCCGCCTTGCACGTACACCCAGAATGGGATTCCATCTTCAAGTCCAGTGCCCCCCGACTCCCTCGAAAAGAATCGGTGGCCGAATCGGCGTCTCTGAGGTGAGGTTTGGTGAAAACCAAATCCGTTTACCCACAAGAACCCAACAAATCCAAATCCAGCTTCCACCAATCCAAACCAACAACTAAAGAACATAGATTGCTTCTTCGGGTTTCCCTCAGGGTCTCCCAAACGTTGGTGTCCCCCGGTGATTGAACCGTTTAGACCTCGAGCATTCTGGGGTTACCTCACCAGGCACGATAAGCTCCACCATAACCCCCTGCCTTCTAGGGTGGTCCCCGAATTTCATTTTCCCTTGTTCCTACAAAGGAACAGAAATGGATCCATCCGAAATCCCCCGTCCATCCCCCTACCGCTCGACCAAACAACAAGGGCCTCCTCAAAAAACAAACGCCCCCAAAGGCATCCGATGTGTGGGAGGCCCGAGTTGTCTCCCTGACCATCGGCACCAAAAGCCCCGCCCAAGACGCTCTGCCCTAAGCCCCGCCCGCCTGGAGCGGTCCAACTCGAGGCGCCAGGTGTCGGGGAAGCAGCGCAGCGCCGTGAGGCGCTGAGCCGCGCGGAAGAGGCCCACCTCGGATGGCGCGGGTCGTTGTTAGACCCCACCGACCCCGGGGAAAACCACAAAAAGTGGGTTGCTCTCACAAAATTCGTGACCCTCCATGCGAAATGGCGGGTTTCCGTCTGGCTTTTTGTTCAACCAGCCCGAAACATTTGAGGGCTTACCCTGCTGATGAACGGAAGGTTTCTCGTGCACTGTTTATTGGGGGGGCTGTTCCTCCAAAAGTGGTCGGAGTCCCCACAAACTAAAAGGGGACACCTCCCCGTCAACATTATGCATCCTTTGAGGGGCTTGTTTGAGACCCAGTCTAAAGGAGGCATCCCTCCGTGCCAAAGCTCGCCCTTCGAATTTCGAATTCGCAGGACAAAGAACTGAGGTCCCGGCAAAGTCTGCTGGGTTCCTTGCGTCAACACGCGGCAAACCCATTTGGATGGTTGGAATGTGGGTGTCTTTTCTAATAATCGGATCCCCTCCATGAGTTTGTTGTTCCTTTTGGTTTCCCTTGAGGAACAACACCAACTCGGGTGTCAAGCATCTGGAAAAATCGGGGAACAGATCATAATCATGTCCCTTTGATGTCCCTTTCGGATTGATCATGCGGGCTATGGAAAACGCGGGTACCCCGCCAAGGTCTAGGTGAAACAAATGCACTTGTTCAAGCCATCGGCAGCTTTCAGCCGATGGTTGCGAGGAACCGCCCCTCCGTTCATTCAACTGCGCCAGAATTTTCAGGGAACCCCGATGGACGAACCGACAGAAGGCACCAAAGGCTGTGATGGAAACTCGTTTCGATTACCCTCCCATCCACTAACATAACATGGAACCTGACTGGTGGGCTCGGTGCTCTTCTGCGACATGGGCCAAAATTGGAAAGCCACCAAGCCTCTAAGGCCCCCTATTCCCCCCGAGACCCACTTCCATGGCACAAGTGGCAACCATTTCCTGCATTTGCTTTTTGCCCCTTGGAAAAACAAACAATCCAGTGACACATCCCCGTGTAAACCAACAGGGGAAACATTCACTTCGGGAAATGGAAAGTAGTATTCCCACTGTGGATGGACAGAATCCATGTGGCACCAGTTGGAAACCCGGAAGTTCCAAGGCTGTGGGTCAAAAACAGGTACCCCCAAAATGGAACCCTGGTAAATGGAACCAAAGACTAAAACCTGCGGTCCCCTGGTGGTGCAATCTTGACCCATACCGTAAAAGACCCCCACCCCAGTTCTAAAGCACAGCAAAAGCCTGGCGAGCGGCTCCACCACAGTCTCCAATGTCTCCGCTTTCGAGCGGAACACCTACCCCGCAGCCCACAGCTCGGTTCCCTTTTTGGCTGGTTTTAAGGGGGAAACCAAAGGGGAAACCGGCATTTTGTGGAATTCCAAACCGTCCGTTTCCCTCAAATGCCTAGTGGCCATGCGACAAAAGTCCAAGGATTCCCCTGCATCCAGCAAATGAGCACTCGGGAGTTAAATGCAAGAACAGCTCCTGGCCAAGCACTTTGCAGCCGGCAACATGATGAGTCTTGTGACTTCCTTTTGGCGGGAATGAGCGTTTGGCTATTCGGCACCCAGCCAGCCACTAACAGAATCGGCTCAAGGCCCCGTTCACTCCATGCCTCAAAGCATGCACCCAGCGTGGCGCAGAGGGTTTGGCTTCCCGCAGGCTCACCTCCTGGCCGCTTGAAAGGTTGCAAGGCCATGGAACCCACAAAACAGTGGCTCCCTTTTAAGGGAGAATCTGTTTCTTCCAAGGCCTTTTGATGGAGTAAAAAGTTCTCGCAAAAATGGCCAGAACAAATCAAATCCGACGAGGTTGAGTCCAGACACTGGTGGGAAGTAAGGTTACGACAAGGAGTAAGAGACATTGGCCGCCCGGTGTTCAGGGAGATTTGATACCCCCGGATCGAGCGGGGAAGGAGAGGGCAGAGTTCCCCTGTTTGAAGAGGCCGGCGTTGGCTCAGGAAGAGTCTGAAGGATGCCCTGGGATTCACCCTCCAAATCCCTTCCTCTCACATCTCAAGGATACCTGAAAGATCGACTTCCTCTTGAACGGACCCCCCGTCAAGTAACATGTTTGTTGTTGGAAAAAAACATGGTTGCTTTGGACCATCAGTCGTCGTTAGGAATAGCAACAATTGGAGCTGACTTTGAGAAAGACTACTTTCCTCCTGCCCCAAAATGTCCACTGCCATGAGCTCGTTGGCAAAATGGCAGCGCTTGCTGTGTCCATAAAGTGAGATCCGCAAGTGTGATGCTTTTGAGAACCCCTCCAAACTTGGTTGCCGTTGACCCCTCTGCACAAACTTTAAGTTTGGTGCCTCCAATGGAACATCCACTGGTTCCCAAAAAGTTGTAAAGTCGTTGTGTTTGAGAATGTGATATGCATTTCCCTTGTGGGTTTTAATGGGCTGGAAACATAGGGGAACTTCGCAGGTGTTAGGATCCTATTCAAAGACAAATGCCGGGTCGGTCAGCGGAACCCCGAGCCGATGGGAGGCTACGTCCGAGGCCCCTTAGGCCCAGATAAAGTACAGCCAGCTGGGTCGCTTCAAGTGGCAAGGCATTTGCTTTATGGCTATTTGGTTGGATCGTTGGGTAATATTTCCACTGCAGATAGGCAAAGTCCATTTGGCACCAGTTGGAATTGGTGGCTTAGCCCACTAGTAATAGGGTTTTATCTATCTCAAGTGGTGCAGAATTTCGTCCACGCACAGTAGGAATGGACCGGCCGGAGGACGGGGGCATCTCACGATTTTTGGACTGGGATTGCTGCTCCGTTGCAAACGCGTTTTTGGCATGCGGGAATCCCAAAAACCCGTGGACCACTCCGGAAAAATCAAACATCTGCATGCAACCATTCCAATACCTACTGTGGGTGGACGAAATCCTGCAGTACTTGGGATAGATGAAATCCTATAAGTAATGGCATAAACCAACCAACTGTTGCAGGATTGAGTCCATCAGGGGAAGGGGGTTGAATTCGCCAAACCAATTTACAGTAAAGCACCTGCATCGTGAGCATCGTGGGTCAAAAATAGGGTAACCCCAAAATGGGTTGCCCTGGCAAACTGAAGCATGGACTAAAACAGTGTGGTGGAACATTTTGACCGGTACCCCAAGATTTGTTTACTTTTCCCCTTAAGCAAATGCAAGAGTTTCGGCCACAGGGCACCACAGGGTAAGGTGAGCCCCGAAGTCGCGCACGAAGCGCGAAGCGTCCTCCGCAGTGCATGGGGAAGGCCAAGCAGGTTGCCTGGCGAGGCGCTCGCTTCGGACAGGTTTGCCACGGAAAGGCCCCCCCAAAAAAAGACAGACAAACGGACAGACAGGCAAACACGAGCAAGCAACACAACTCAAGGCAAAGAAAGGAAGGAAGAACAATGGAAAACAAAGCAAGCTAACAAACCAACAAACATACAACACCAAACAAAAAACTTCTTGCTCTATCCTAAAGGGATCCGGTGCGTCTGTCCTTGGCCATTTTTGTAGCCAATGCTGGTGGCTGATACAGCATCCCTTCCACACATGGGGGGTGATCAATACTCCTGACCATGAGCAACTTGTACCACATAATGCGACATCCTTGGATCAACCCCTCCATGGTGTTCATGGCGTCACGTCATCTTGGCCCACCCAATTTCAGAGCCATAGCACGGGGAGGCAGCCAGCAGGCTCCGATTAATCGTTCACGGCAACCAGGGATCCATTAAGTTGAAGCCCCGCTGCAAATCCAGAAGAGTAACACAATAGGCTCGGAAGTGGTATCAAATTCGCCTCTCAAAGTATGCCAGCCTGAGACTAGCCTCAGGCCCCTGGCGTGTCTTACGTGTCTGCGACTGGCCTCAGGCCCAGCCCAGCCAGCAACTTGCCACCCAGCCTCAGGCCCAAGTGTGTATGACACAGGCCTTGCCCATCCAGCAACCCGCCCAAGCACAGCTCAGCCCAGCCCGCCCAGCCCAAGTTCCAGGCGCAACCAGCAGCGTAGTCCGGCTGCCCGGCAGCCTGCCAGCCACTAGGCCGGCCCCCAGCTCCCCAGCAGGCTCAGCAAGCCCAGCGTGCCAAGGTCAGGTTTTTGTCTGACGTGTCTGAGACTGGCCTCAGGCCAACGACCAGTCTCACGTGTCTGAGACTGGTCTCAAGCTACGCCAGCTACTAAGCCTGTCTGACGTGCCCCACTCAGTCCAGCTGCCCAAGCAGGCCTTGACCTCCTGCTCGCGTCTGGCCCCAAGTCATCCAGCAGGCCCAGCCCCTTCAGCGCAGTCTGAGACTGGTCTCAAAGTATGCCAGCCTGAGACTAGCCTCAGGCCCAGTCCCTCAGCCCGCCTGCTGGCGTGTCTTACGTGTCTGCGACTGGCCTCAGGCCCAGCCCAGCCAGCAACTTGCCACCCAGCCTCAGGCCCAAGTGTGTATGAACAGGCCTTGCCCATCCAGCAACCCGCCCAAGCACAGCTCAGCCCAGCCCGCCCAGCCCAAGTTCCAGGCGCAACCAGCAGCGTAGTCCGGCTGCCCGGCAGCCAGCAACCCACTCGTGGCTGAGACAGCAGGCTCAGCCCAGCTTGTCTAACGTGTCCCACGTGTCTGAGACTGGTCTCAAGCTACGCCAGCTACTAAGCCTGTCTGACGTGCCCAGTCCGGCTGCCCAAGCAGCTCAGCCCAGGCTGGCCAGGCCTTGACCTCCTGCTCCAGCCAGCAACTCGCTACCCAGCCTCAGGCCCAAGTGTGTATGAGACAGGCCTTGCCCATCCAGCGACCCGCCTAAGCACAGCTCAGCCCAGCCCGCCCAGCCGAAGTTCCAGGCGCACCAACAGCGTAGTCCGGCTGCCCAGCAGCCAGCAACTGAGACTAGCTTCAGTCCCAGCCCAACCAGCAACCCGCCTAAGCAAACCTCACCCAAGCCCACCCTGTTTCAGACTCGCAGGCCTCAGCCTATCTGGCGCCGAGACTGGGCCTCGCCAGCCTGGGCTCAACTAGCGTCTAGCCCAGCCCAGTCCGCCTGCTGGCCAGGCCTGTCTGACGTGTCTGAAACTGGCCTCAGGCCCAGCCCAGCCATAGCCCAGCCCACTCAGTGCGGCTGCCCAGCCCGCCGTAAACTAGCTTCAGGCCCAGCTCAACCAACAACCCACGCAAGCAAGGACCAGCCAAGCTGCCCGAGACTGTCCGAGCAGGACGGCTTCCGAACATCGAACTAGCACGGGCGAACTGGTGCGGTCACAAGCTTTCAGTAGGATTCGGACCTTCCCAACACTGGATTTCGGTGTTCCTGACCCTTCCCTCAAACTAGGCTGGGCCGAGGCGGGCAACGCGAAGCGTTTACAATTAGATGGTACCCACAAGGCCCAGTTCTCTCTGTATGGCTTTTGTATGCTAACTGATTGTTAGGAGGGAACATTGGCCAACTTGAGTGATTTTTGGACATTAAGGGGGACAATCGGGGCGAGGGGGATTGCAAGAATTCCCCAGCTCGTGGTAAACCCTGAAGAAGTATCGCGCGAGTGGGGCTTAGGGCACTGTTGGGGACTCGTCATAGCTGTTTCTCGAAACTAGGGACCCCTCCAAGCGAAACCCACCAAAGCAGGGTCCACCCTGTTTTTGAGAAACCCCTGCAGAGAAAGAAGCAAAACGCTAGCAAATTGCAAGGTTGGAGGTCAACTTCTTCCTCTTGGCGGGCAACAAGTTTATTGGCGCAGCGCCGATTGCTTCGCCCACACTCGCGACGACTCAGTGGCACGAGCTTGCCTCGACCAGCACCTGGCACGACAGGGTCTTGAATGGATCACTGGCAAATTGCCTCCCCCATTCCCGGCTATATACATTTCCCTTTCGCTGCCTTGCAGGAAAATGTAGCAAAGACTCCTGTATTGGGGGGGGGGAGTGCACCCATCTGCTGCAGGCATTGTTGAACTATACGCTACATACGCTTCAGCAAAGCAATGCGAGGCACAAGAAATAAGTACAGCTGTCGCTTCATCTCTGAAGGAGTCTACGGGGAAAGGGTTGTTGCGCGCTTTGGTGCGGGAACCCTGGTGTGGTTTGAAACCAGGTTCAAACCAGTGTTTGTTGGTATTCATGTTGGGGGATCGAATTATTCCAGTGCTTCTGAAAGGTGGTGCGAAATCAACCTCCGCCTTTCTTGTAGCTTTGGACATGAACGGGACCCATGAAACTCTGACACCCCACCCACCCACCCACCACCTGGCCTGTGGTTCACTTGGACATGACGAGAAACAAGCCAAGAGCCAAGATGGTGACACTCTCTTAATTGACCCTTGAGAAAGATGAAAAGTGCAGAGGCGAGCGCCAGAGTATCATGCAGGGCGGGGGCATTGTTGCTGACTTCCAACGTTGTTCTTTTTTGCTGGACCTGCATATCAAAACGGAAAAAGAGAGATTGGAAGCTTTGGGGGTTTGCCTTTTGGGAAAATATACATGAGGCTCCGTCCAAAGTGGCGTCCACATTTTTGGGTCCTTTTGTGTTCCACAAACAGTCTAAGGCAGGCCGCTGAACAAACAACTACTTATTGTTTTCGAAAACCTGCTTTTGACATCCCCGTTCAGTTCAAAGCCAATCCGGGTCATGGCCATCACAAAAATATATGGCCGTCGGGCTCCCCTTGACTTGTCCTCCAACAAACACCCCCAATCACTTCGGCTCGATTGAGAGCTTTTCGCGCTGGGGTCCCCCACCATGAAAACCAGGTGGGCGGCCCCCGCGTCGTGCAAGTGCTCCCAGGAGCCACCAGAGAGGAGGACCCATATGCTGTTGAAGACCTCCAAAGGTGGATTTTGCGGTTGGAGTTGGTGCCTGCCCCTGTATCCCTGGATGCCTAGGGGCCAAGGATAAGACCATGTTTCAGAAAGCCATGACTAAAAGTGGAACCCTCCTACATCAACGGGAGGACATTTCTTGTTGGGCTCTTCTTTCAACAAGTGCGCTGCACCTGCAAAGCTTTTGCCATCATAGCCCCCAGAACGTCCACCAGGAGTTTACCCCTAAGCAGCATTTTCTAAATGAACTCTTCTTTTGGATGGATGAGTTTCCCGTGCAAAACTCTGAGCCAACCGGCGGGCACCACTGTTTAAAGCGACAATTGACTCTCAAAAATTGGGCGGGGGCGGCATAGGAGCCACCTGCAACCCGTCTCTTCGGTCCACGAACTAGGGGCATGGTTGTGGAAAATGACCCTTTCTATGCTACCAATGTGGCCGATTCCCCATGGCTGCTTCTCACTTTTAAGCGGACTTCCTTGGTGACCCACGGAAACTGGCGACATGCGACCTAAACCCCATGTTTGTCTTTTGGGTGTGGGGGTGCGCCGACAAATCGTGGCACGCGACGATTTCCGCGGCTTTCCCCATGCTTTGGGCTTCCCGGCGCGGACATACTGCGCCACCTTTGTCTCGGCACTTTCCCCACGCACCGCGAACCAGATCAGATCCCACAACCTCGGGGCAGGGTCGAAGGATACATCTTATGTTTTCGCACCACCTAAGAAACCCTGGAAGCATGATTCTCCCTGTACATGCCAACAACCAACGGTTTCCCATGGCTTGGCCACAATATCATGGTGATCCTGATATGGCAGTTTGTTCACATGGAATAGATTGTTGGACAAATATTCTATGATTGGTGTAACATTCAAATGTTGGATGCCAATGAGCATTGGTACAAGTTCTTATGAATGGTTCTCTTAAAACATCAGCTGTCAAAGGGTCCACCATGTTGAGAAACTCGTGGGGAAACCACCTACCAGCACGTGCAAAATGGACTTCTTTCCAACCGTTGGCATGGGCTAAAACAACTAAAGACATGATCCAACAACGGCTGCAAATATGTTCTATCCACAATAGGTGCCAAATTGAAGCAGCTTCCCAAAGACGGTGCCTTCCTTAGTGCCTGCTGTCCTTCTGAAGTTCCAGGGTGCCATGTTTAAGGGCAGGAAGCAGCTATCCCCTGCACTTCCGTTTGGACATCAAAGCTGTTTGCCATCCCAAGCCGCAAGGTCGCAGCAAGTTTGCTTGGCGCTTCTGCCTTCATTCCAACTACCATGTCCTTCTAGAACTCCTGGTAGCTTTTTTTAGCTCCGTCTTTAAAGGCAAAAATTGAATACCCCCAGCTCCCTAGCAGCTCCCTAACAGCTCCCTTCCAACCGCCAGCTAGTCCAAGACTCAGCGGCCCAAAGGGCCCAGAAATTGAAGGTCCAGCTTCTGGGGCCATGACGAAACATGCAAAGGTCGTCTCTGGACAACTGAGAAGAAGGCGGGGGCCCGTACCCCCCTCCTCCCCTGCAGGCCAAAACCGCCAGGGGCCCACACTCGATGACCGCCAGGATGGCGTGACGGAGTGGCCAGCCAGCAATGCCTTGTGGCAGTGATTAGGGTTGCACCAGGCGTGTAGGGGGCGCGTTGCCCATGCCTAACCACGCTAAAAAGACAGATATGTAGTTGATTGTTTGTTTGTTTGTTTGTTTGCTTGCTTGCTTGCTTGATTCATTCAAGCACCCCCTCTTGAGGCCCACTGTGAAAGGAAGCTTCAGTATGGGCATATCGCAAAATCTTGGTCAGCCAGGCTGCGTTTCTTGTCCAAATGCTGTATGTGAGATCCATTCACATCACACACGCACGCCCCAACCCAACCCATCGACCGCGAGCCAGGCAAGATGCCCAGAATGCCAAAACGCACAAAGACTCGCTTTGTGATGCACCCCCTAAGCCCTTTCATGCATTTTCTGTCGGAAAGACCGTTGCTGGCCCTTATGACCTTTCTAGGCGTGCCAAACTTGCTGGTTTCTTTAAGGATTCAACAAGGGAGTGTCTTTTTTTTTTTGGGGGGGGGGGGGGACAAAATGGTGGTTCTTTTGGTTTCCCCTTAAAACCAAAAACAAGGGTTCTGGGAACCCAGAGAAGACCGCAAGTTGGATGGTTGGATGGTTTAGCTCGGGGTCGATCCCCTCCACTGGTGTTCTGCTCGCTTTTTTCGGGCCAAGGGGGCTGCTTTGACCATCTGAGGCGCTTGGACTTGGATGTTCAACCTGGGTCGTTTCAAAGCGTGGATGTAACTGGAAGAACTGGGTATGTGTCAAATCTAGGTGACCCAAAAGGTGGTTGGCTTTCTTGTTTGGCTTCCCCGTACAGCTGACCAACCTAAACCCAAGAAACCCTGGAATGATGCCAGCAATGAATAGCCTCAACCATGGGTGTGAAATGGCTTTCGCAACCATCCACAGTGTGACTCTAATTGGTTTCTCAAAGTAGGTGGTCCCTTGTTGGAGATGGAGAAACCTAGCGGACACCATCGACGTGAAGGGTCTTCTTTCGAGAAATGCGCACATTGGTGTCATTCGGGACCCGAAATGGTGGACATCATTGGATGGGGGTTCATGTCCACCAACCACTTCTATTAAAATTCATAGCCATAGGGGGGTCTCTTTTTTGATGGTACCCTTTGTTGGTGGTCTCCAGGGGAAACCAAAAGGAAGACCACCAATTTCGGGGGAAGGTATGCTTCTCAATAAAAGACGAGCCCATATGAGTGAGTCCACTCTTTAATTCTATCACAGCCTTCCCAACCCCGGCTACCGTCTCCTTCCAGAACTCCGATCGGTAGCTCCCTTCGTCCGGCCTCCCTCTTTTACTTGCTGGTGCTCAGTGGGGAATGTGGGAATGAACCCAGCATCCCCCTTAAAGGAAACCACAAGGGATGGTTTTACGGGTCATTCCCCTTCCCATTCCTGCTGAGCACCAGCATGCGTTTTTTGGGGGATACCCCCAGCAGTTGAACCGACGAAACGGGATCTCCGGAGGCACCGTAGAGGCACGCCAGACCGGTGCCCGTCTCATCCCTGAGCCGCACCATCTGCTCCTCAAGAAAGAAACCAAGCAGAAAGCTGGCAGTGCAGGCGTTTTCCCGCCTGCAGCGCGCTTTTACTTTTCTAGTCCCATGACTTTTGCCATGCCCAAAGCCACCCCTGAACTTGCAGGATAAAGGGAAACAACTCCAGGTTCTGGCTTTGATGACGCCCAGAGAGTGCCAAAATAAGGATCCCAGTTGTAGCAGGGACAAGTGAGCCCATTTGGGCCACCTTGGCTTTTGTGGTTGGAATTTGGGGAACAAACATCTGGAAAGCCCACATCTCAGTGGTCCAAAGCAAAAAAGACGACCTTTTTGACCTTTCGGTTTCCCCTTTTCTGGCAACCATTTGTAGTGGCCCTCAAAAGGTGAGCCTTGCATGTCCCGAACTGGGCAACTGAGGGGTACCATCTGGGAGATCCTAAGCAGGTGCTTTTGGGTGTATCCTTTAAGGAACCCTGTGATACGAATGAAGCACATCACTCTTGTAAGGTTCGGCAACAGGTCCAGCCACACCAAGTCCCATGCCCGTTTGGAAAACCCACGTATCCAGTCGATTCTCTAAGCGGGACCCTGGATCGCCATCCCCAAAAGCACCCTCCTTGGCCAAGGGGCGTCTCGATTGCAGTCCTCCACGTGCGCCCACATGTAGTGGCTATACCTCAGCTCAACACATGTCCAGAGTCCGCGGTGATTCTTAGACCCTCCAAAATGGCCTCAGTGTTGCTCCTGGTTCCCCTGAAGAACCCTCGCGAGGTACAACCTTTTGAACCCTAAAATGGCCCGGCTTGCGAGACTGACCCAGTTCCACGGTCCCTGATTGCGTGACTCTGTTGAAAATGGAGCATTCGATGTTCCATCCCTGGGTGAGTTCTTTTTTAGACTGCACTCCCCCAAGATGGCTCGGCGGTTTTCCATTTTACGCGTCCACTTGAAAATCACATTTTGGCAACCCTTTCGGAACAGAAAAGGATCGTGCCGCTTTGTTTCAAAAGCCCTTCCTTCCCGAAGACCCCCTAAAACGCGCAAATGCGGCTCTTCGGCCAAGATTTAACTGAAAACTCACCGCAGCCAAAATGTCCGTTGCACAAGTGTTAGTGGGATGCCAAGGGGATGACAGGCAATCAGCAAACAGAGTTCCAAAATCAACCAAACCCGGAGAAGAAAGCGAGAAAGTTCCGTCCCGAATCCAGCGACGGCTCGTGCTTGCCGGGCGCCGACAAGGGCAGCAATGTGGCTGCCCTGCACAAGGCCAAAGCCTCATAGCTTGACCTCCTACTTGTAAGTTCATGGCTCCAAACATGTTTCCAGAAAGGCGTTTCCAAATCACAACCAACAGGGACCTCAGCAGCATGTCAAAGAATAATTTCAAGTTGTCAAAAGCATATTTCCTCTCAACAAGGTGGGTCAAAGACGAATTTCAACCGAAAGCCACGTCAAACAACCGCCCCAACACCCCGCAAACCCGCCCCTCCTCCCCCCCCCTTGCGGCCGGAACTGCTGGGTGGAGATGGACAGCTCCGAGCCCTCGTTGAGGCGCAGAATTTCCACGGGGCGGCGCAGCACTAAATCCAGGACCCTGACGGTTCAACGGTCCAAAAGGGGGCTCAAAATGGTGGCGTTCCTGGCAAACCGACCTGAAAAAGGGCGCCCTTATGGGTCGTCTTCCATCTGCTGAAATGAAGATGTGTTATTTTCCTGTTTGGGTATTTTGAAGGGAATCGATTTCACTGCTGGACATATTTGAAGGCTGCTCTGGTCAAAAAGGGCTGTGGAAAGCTTCCTCAGTTGTCTTGTGATTTTTAATTCTGAAACATGATTCGAAATCAGTTGCAGGACGGTGTCTTCGCTGCACCTCGAAAGTCTAGCCTGATCGAAGCATGGTTGTGGGGAATCCCATATTTTTGTGATATTGTGGGTGGACCAAATCCATCTCGCACCACGAAATGAAACCATGGTTGAAACCATAACGTGCGTTAGCATTTACAGGGGGGAATCGAAGCATTCCCGGGATTCTTATGTAGTGCAGGATCCATATGAAAATGAATCGCCCTCAAGATGTCAGGCCCCCTTCTGAAACGAAGTTGGAGAAATCGCACAGCTCAGGGTTTCCTCCATTTCCCTCTTTGGAACCTTCACAAGTGGCGTTCGTTTCAAGTGGAAACCGCCAGTAAACTGATATCAACCCTTGATTTGGGGCATCCAGCTTGACCCCGGAACCTGACACAGGGTTCCTTGAGCATTGGTCTTCCAGAGACCCTCCCAGAGGTGCTAGGTCTTCTTCTGTTCGTGCGGGGAAGGGTCGCCCCAAAACCCCACCTGTCCAACGAAAAGCCCATGGACCGCCAGCTTTTCTTGCCCAGCCTGCCGTGTGCCCAGGAGGAGGAACGCTGGAAGAAGCAGTCCTCGCGGTTCACACCGTGTCACCTCACCGTTTTGCCCAAAAGGGGGGAGGTGGTTGATTGTTTGCTTGCTTGCCTGCTTGCTTGCTTGCTTGCTTGCATGTTTGAATGTGTGTTTGTTTGTTTGTGTGTTTGTTTATTTGTATGTTTCTGTGTTTGTATGTTTGCATGTTTGCTTGTTTGTTCGTTTGTTTGCTTGTTTGGTTGCTTGTATGGTTGCTTCTTTTTATGCTTGTATGTTTGTATGCTTGATTGTTTGTGTGTGTGGGTTTGTTTGTGCTTGTTGTTTGTTTGTTTGTTTGTTTGTTTGTTTGTTTATTTGTATGTTTGTGTGTTTGTATGTTTGCATGTTTGCTTGTTTGTTCGTTTGTTTGCTTGTTTGGTTGCTTGTATGGTTGCTTCTTTTTATGCTTGTATGTTTGTATGCTTGATTGTTTGTGTGTGTGTGGGTTTGTTTGTGCTTGTTGTTTGTTTGTTTGTTTGTTTGTTTGTTTGTTTGTTTGTTTGTTTGTTTGATTGTATGATTGATTGTATGTTTGATTGTATGTTTAATTGTATGTTTGATTGTATGTTTGATTGTATGTTTGATTGTATGTTTGATTGTATGTTTGTATGCTTGTACGATTGTATGTGTGTTTGTTAGTTTGTGTTTGTTTGTTTTTATTGCTTATTTTTTGTTTGTATGCTTGTATGAAGGTATGCTAGTATTTATGGTTGTATGTATGTATGTATGTATGTATGTATGTATGTATGTTTCTTTGTTTGTTTGTTTGTTTGTGTGTGTGCTTGTATGTTTGTATGTTTGTATGTTTGTATGTTTGTATGTTTGTATGTTTGTATGTTTGTATGTTCTAGGTCCTCCAGAAGAGAGGTTAGAAAAAGGGTACCTTGTTTTCTGCAGCCTATTTTAGTAGAGGAACCCTCCCCCAGAAAAAGGGTAAAAGGGCACTACTCGGGGACCTAGTGGTCGTATGTTGGTATGTTTGTCTGTTGTTTTTGCTTCTTTTTGTAACCGCTTCCCTCCCCCCCGCCCGGTCACCTCCCTAGAATCTATCCCAACTAAGCTGGGCCCGGATGAATCGTGTTGCAGCTCCCGGGATCTGTGGCACCTCGTTTTAATCAACGAGGGTTGTTTTTCACTTCCTGTCGAGTGGATTGCAACTCAGGAAGTGAGGTGTGAGGTGAGTGTGTTTCTTGGTTGTTAAATCCTTCCGCATCTTTTCGGCGCGGGGAGGCCAGGAAAGCTGTCCAGACCAGAAAGCTTATCGCGGGAAAGTTGATGCGTAGACAGCGCCTTGCGGGGCGTCGGGCAAGTGAAGCAACGAAAGGGCTATGCAATGCCTACATGTTTGCATTTATGTGCATATACATTTGTTGCAACGCATGCAAGGCCGCCAAATGTTCGCAGTTCTCCAGTATATACCTTGATCTTCCAGGTCCCTGATAAAACAGGGCTTTGGCTGCTGATCCTCCATGTGATGTCAAGAGGAACACCAAGGAGGACCTGGTTTTCAGAGTCCTTGGAAGACCAAGGGTAGCGATCTCAGATATTTCTTGGACCCATCAACCCTTGAGGGCCAACAGGTCCGATGCAGGAAGCATTTGCGCCAGTTCAAACATCACCTTTGCCAGCTGTTGGCAAGCAAATATTTTGTGATGTATCCTTCAAGGAACCGGTGTCCAAAGTGCGCGGTGCTTCTAACCAAAGGAAGGGACCCTGAAGATTGCTGATTGTCCTCCTGCGTTCCTGTAAAACGAAAAAAGCATCGGATCCGAGTTCCGAACCTTGAGAAAAGAAGCGACACACATCCTCGCATCCAATTCCCCCCCCGCACCCGAAATCCAACTCGATCCACTCGAGCCATCGTCCCGTCCTCCGTGCGGGGGTAGTCCAGAACCATTCGGCACCCGCACCAGAGACGGTGGACCCCTGCGATTTCAATTCCGAATACTTCGGGAGGCCAAGCCCTTCATTTTCTTGTGGTCCCTGGATCCCTGGATTTCCCTGGCGATTGTTTCGATAAATTGGAGGACTCAAGCTTGAAACGATCGCCTCTTTTGAGGTCTAGAATGGAAATGTGTCGTTGTGAAGGAAGCCAAAAGGACACCGAAACCCCTTGTGTTTGTTGGGGTCCCTATGTAGCGACAAACCCACTTTGGCTTGGGGCGGTGTTCTCAAACCTAGCCCCCCACCAAAATCAAAACACGGCAAACCGGGGTTTCCATTGCCTTGGCAGGCCAGAAACCCCACCTTCCAAAAGAGGGTCAGCTTCTGACAGGTGCCATTTCATATCTCCCTGCCACGCCGAGGCTCCCTAAAAGAAGTACTGATGTTGGGAAGCCGTTGCGAAGAGAGCATTCATTCCTCTTCAACTCACACCAACCCATTAACTGGGTACACGGGGGTTTCCGCAACTGGTGGACCCCTTTGGTATGGTATTGTTTGGAGGGAAGCCAAAAAGAACACCCATTCGTATTTTGAGAAATCCCCACAAAGAAAGGGGGCGGATCACTCCCGCCAGACATAGGAAAGAATCCTGTGAGATGCCAGGTGCGGCATCCCTATGACTAGGCTAGCTCAAAGGCGACTTCCTTGGTATCAAAGTGGCCTTCGAACCCGATTTTGCACAACCATGGTTGGCGGATGGCTTTCCATGGAAACCAGCCCCGCAGTGCGCTAAACCTGGCTTTCAGCAAAAGCTAATGTCCTGCGGCCGTGGCTTTGGGTGACGCCCGGAGTCATTTAACCTCGTCCAAGTAGCCCAAAGGAGCCCTGGCAAACGGAAGTAAACCTATCTAAATCAGTGCCGTCTATTTCTTAGTTGCCCAGTTTGGACCCGGAGACAGAAGTAAATCTCGTGCATTGCCTTGACGAAATAAGGACCCAAACAGGAAAACTCCAAAAGTTCAGATCAGGACCTTACTCGCTTTTGTTGCAAGTGCGAAGCCGCTTCCCCGCCTCCATCATGAACCTCCTCCTTCTGCCAGTCCACTTGAAAGCCCATGTCGAACATTCCTCAGGTTTCGCACGGCAAGGACACTTGCTGGCTAGTAGGGAGTCACCAAGGGATTGGGGAACAGACCCGAGAGAGGCTTCCTAAAAAACAAAAGATGGGTAGAGGCCCAAGCCCCTGCTGGTCACGGGTAGTCTGCTTTTGAACGCAACCCCTGCTGAGAACCAGTAAGTCAATTCCAAAAGAATGAAACAAGGGATTGCCAGGCAGATAAAGCATCTTCAGGGGTGAAATCGCTCGTTTTCCCCTCGGATCGGTGAGATCCACAAAACATAGGAATAAGGGGAAATCGGGCGCCTCGCGCCCCCGGGATCAGGGAGCTTGGAATTGGAAATCAGGCCAGGGGGTTCTGTTTTGGGAGAATCAACCACCCCTGGGTTTAAGCCTACCTGCGCCTTCCATTTGCTGAAGCCCCCCAGGAAAAATATACTGATTCCCAGTCAATTTTAGATTCCCTTTCACACCAGCAGGAGAAGATAACACAAGCAGATGTGGGAAATCGAAAAATGAAACCTTGTGGGATATCGTGGCCCCCGGACATGCAGCCTCGGCGCTGGCGAACACCTCGTGCCGCAGCGGCTGGCCTTCGTAGATGGGATCCTCAGCGCGGAAAGGTTTGGCACCCCTCCTGGTTTCAGCAGAGGTCGGGGGGAACCGGGGACAGGGAGCTTTGTCAAGAGGACTGTCTTCCACATCCCCCCAACATAAGAAGGGGGGTGGGGGGGGGTCCTCCAATTCCAGGGGTGGGGCTGATGGTTCTCTGCGGCCTCATTGGCAATACGTTTTCCATCACATCGCACCCCACTTCTGACCCTCCTGGGTTGGGACTTGCACACGGGAAGCCCGGATACGCCCGGTGGATTCATGTGGACGAAAAACTGCTGAACCACCAATCCCAACTGGCGCAACGTTTAGATTTTGTTCCCGTCCAACGGTACAGGCCCTTTTTAAGTGGGAAACCCGTGGCGCCCGTTGAGCAGTTGGGGTACAACTCCCTATAACTCCCTTTTCTGAAGATGTGTTCAACCCCACATGCTCACTTGACAGGCTCAATAAATGGTGAAGCTGCTCAGTTGCTGTTGCAAAAATAGATCGACGGGACAGCCAGTTGGTCACAAAACTCTTGGACACACCTTACAGGGACCCAAATACGCAGCCACTGGAAGGGGACCCAAACAATCAGGGTCACTGGAATTCGCCAAATCAAAAGTTGCACTTGAGTGGAGGTTTCCACGTTGCAACGATCGCCACTTGGGTAGGTTCCCCAAAAATGCAAATGGCTCTGAAATTCTGAAAGTTGTATTCTCGAGGAATCAGTTCGTGCCTTGCCACCGGATCTACCCGTCCCAATTAATTTGGGGGGGGTCCCCCTCCTAAAGTGGTCTGAATCTCCACCAAAAGGAATTGGACACCCCACTATGAATCAATCAGGGGTTCATTTAACTCGGGGTTTGCGTTCGGTAGGACCGGACCCCTTTGGGTTTGGTTGACCTAAGCCCTCAGCACCTTTTCGCGTAGCTTCGGACACCTCCAGCTGGACCTTCTCCAGGCGATCCAGCAGCACCTGGAAGCCGGAAGCAAGCGATGGGCCACGGATCCGTTGGATCGGCGCATCCATCGCCAAGGTTCAACTCGCTTCCCATCGAGTGGATTGGCCGAAGAAAAGATGTCTTGCCGGGGCATCCTTTCGGCTTCAGCCCAGTTGAAGCCGAAAACACGTCCGGACTTGCTTTACTTACCGCACTCTAATCGGCTTCCGAAAAGTACAAATAAGTCGGAAACGGGGTTCAACCCTTCGATAATGCTCCAGCCGTGGATTCCGCCTGAGCAAGTGCCAAAAGAGTGCGATGGTTCGATGGGCAGGGAATCAGAAATGGAATGACCTCCATACACCATCCGGGCACCAGCAAGTGAATCAAGTGAATTGTAGACTATAATTTTGTCCGTGAATGGACAAAATTCACAAAGCGCATCAGCTGGGATTGGTTTATCCACCATTATTGACAGGGTGTCATCCACCCCAAGTGGTGCAAAATGGATTTGTCCTCCCACAGTAGGTGTGCCCCTCCCACTAAAATCGAACTTTATCGACCGGGGATGTTGCATCCGGGTCAACATGCGTGGTTCATGGATCTTCTGGAAAAGAAAAGAAAGAAAAAAAACGATCCACTTTTAGTGGGATGCGTCAAAGACCGCGAATCTCCAAAAGTCCAAGGGGTATGGCTCCGCCATGCTGATGGAAACACGAGCGAGTCCATCCTCTCGTGGCATGGGAAGCCAACGTGCCTTCCCCAGGAAATCTCAGCGACCCCTTGGACCAGCCCTCCCGACGCAGCAAGGCTTCGGCGTTCTTGGCCCCACTTGGTGAAAGCCAGAAAGACCAGAACCATTCCCTCCCTCCCAATAACATTTTGCACCTCACAGTTCCTTTAAGAGGAAAATGATCAAGGTACCCCTGCCACAGGTGCCTGTTCGTGGAAGGGTAATTCTGATTCCACTTGCAACCTGCCTACCATGTGATTTCTCTCTGTCCTTCCCACCTTTGAGGAGAACCCTCCTCTTCAGGATTCACAAGCGGATCCCCTCCAGGCCCTCCATTTGAGAGGTGCTTAAAGCACTCCGGAGTAGCAAATCTAACTTTCCGCAAAATGGCTCAATTCTTGGCCTTGCCCCAACTCTGCACACCAAAAATTATAAGTCATATGGTGGATATAACTCACTTTGCACCATGCAATTGGTAGTTTATCCTAGTATTGTCCATGCAAACATGGAAGTGCACGTTTAAGCCTCGGCTAAAAGGAAAGCCGTTTTGCAATAGGTGACCGCACTTCCATATACTGGAAACGCTGGAATAATCAACCTCGGGCTGATTGTGATTGGGAGTGTCAATTTGTGGGGATTCATCACTTTCCTCAGATCCGGGGTCAACCTGAGTGCACAATGAAAACTTGAACCCCAGAAACGGCCGTCATTTGCCCTGCCACATGAAACAACTACTGCTTGCCCCCAAAGGCGGGGGCATTCCCTACGTATCCAACCTGCAAAACATCACCCGTACTAATCGAAGCGAGGACCAGCGAGCCAAAAAGATGAGACGTTTGACACCCTTTACAGGGAAATCGAGCTGGTCCACCTTCGGACATCACTGTCCTTCACCCAGCTAGACTCTTAAACCCCTAGGGAAATATGCCCCAATTAAAATACTCACCACGCCCTCCTGAGAAAAATGTCGCAACTTGATCCCGAGCTCATAAACAAGGCCCACAAGTTGGTGTGACCAGGGCTGCCCCACAACTTCGCCAAACTAGAAACCACCCCCCGGCGTTCGGAAACCGAATGCGTCTTTTGCCCACTTCGGCCGAAGGCGCGTGGGCCAAGGGCGCTTTGCTGGAGGCTAGGGCCGACAGGATCTGGACATCCGAGCCCTGGGCGTCCAGCTTGAGGTGGATGGGCGGGCCTGGCTGGGTGATCGGGTACGTCAGGTAAGTGGGTAATAGCCATGGTACAAATCCCACAAAAGCCATGGTTAAAAGTCTCTCAGTGGGTTGCAACCAGGCTTACTAACCATTTACTTCTTACCATGCCGCTTCAAGTATGGGAATGTGGGGGGATTCCAACTGCAGGTTTCCGCGCGGCTTTCCCTTTAAAAGGAAAACACCATGTTGGCCATCCCATGGTGCCTAATACTTGAAGCCGGGCGTCCGAGCTAGAAACTTGCTGCAAGAGCTGGGAAGCCGAAAACCAAAAAGTTTAAAGGCGAAGCTAAGTCTGGCAATGGGCTGATAGCGGAGTTTTGTTCACACTCGGACGCAATCTATATGCGGGCCGTGTTTCTTCTGGAAGGCCATATGCCTCTTTCATGCGGACACAACAACTACTGCAGGCCTTCTCCACGCCTATTGTCTTAAAAGGGCGTTCCTGGAAGTTTCTACACCTTCCCTGGCGTTGGTTCAATGGCAACATGGGAGGGAGTGTATTAGACTTGCACACACTCCCCCCCCCCAAAAAAAAAAACATAAACCTATTCCCGAATATGCAGCTGAAGGGGGAGGCACCTGGGCTGTGTGGCTTTTCAAGAGGCTTAAATGCAAGTTCCTTGATGGCTTTGATCCGTTCCAGTCGCAACCTGAGTTGAGAAGGTCGGCTTTTACGTGTGAGGGGCACCTGCTTAGGGGAGCAGTCGCTTGACATCGCAAACGCCAGACACCCACATGCTTCCTGTAAGAGCAACTTCATCAACGGTCGTCTCGCTTGACTGATTAGCCTCAAACATCTGAGAAACCAAGCAGTTCCACGCTTTGCCTACATCAGTCCAAAAACTTAGCGAACATTCGTCAGCTAGCAAAATGGTGAAGGATGCCTTTGTTCAAACGTCCGGTCAAACCCAAAAAACGACCCTAGTACGGGGAGGGTCACGTTGTGTGAGCCATTCAAACTCGGCGTCAGCATGTTGTTCAGTGTGCAATAGTTGGTCTGCACATTGAAACCCTACCCGCAGCGCAAGGTTGGTTGGGAATGTTGGGAACGCTGTTGTTTCCGAACCTCTCTCTCTCTCTCTCCAGCATCCTCGAGCAGGTCCCGCTCGTCCCAACAAACAACGTGTTGGGGAACGAAAAGAATTGGCACTCGTTTTTTTGGTTCAATTTAAGAAGAATTGAATTCTCCTCATACAAGTCGAAAACAAGGGAAAATGCCAACTGGCCATGAACTTGCCACTGTGAAGCCGGCCTGCCCGAAAACCGTTCTTCACAGACAAAGGCCACGGTTTGTCGGAAATGGGACACATCCCCCACGAGGTAAAGTAACCCTTGGAGAACACCATGCTGGGTTCGGAGAAAACAATCCCCTCCAAAAGGAGACTTGAACTCACATTGGTGAAAAGGTAATCTGCAAATCAGCTTTTGGAAAATGCCCCGAAAGGTCGAACACCTTTCTGTGACCCAAGGTGTCCCATTAATTGATGGCACCAGTGCCTTCTCTTCCCCAAACTGACCCAAGGAGACATACTGTGGATGGACGACATCCTGCACCCAAGAGGTTCTGGAATGATGAATTCCCCTGTAAACATCAACAAACACCGGTTTCGACCATGGATTCATTTCGTGGTGCCAAATGGAGTTCGCAACGATCCACAGTAAGGGTCCCTGTCCCGTCGCTCCATGGTTCCCACGGAAGTCTTCCGGACCATCTGTTGAAAGCTGCCTTGTTCCAGGACCTCCCGCAGCTCAGTGACCATATCCTGCTGCCAGAAACCCCCAGAGATCATCTCTGGTGTCTTCAACTAGGAGGAGCCTCAAAAAAGGGGGTGTTTCATATGTGGTTTTCTTTTAGACCTATACTACACAGTTTTTTTTAGAATGTATGGGCTGTTTTCTAAAGAGTGGCCAAACTCAAACCACTCATTTTCAAGGGTGCTCATGTTTGAGACAAACCCGTCTGGAGTCACTTGCGATCACTGAAATTCTGGAGCGTGCTGCCACTTGACGCCAAGAAACCCACAGGAATGGGGCAAAGGCGACCGAAGAATTGCCTGACACGATGCCACAAAATGGAACAAGAACCTGTCATCTGTAATAATTTGCACAATTTGCACATCTACAAATTAACGAACCCAAGAAGGCCCCCCCACCGGTGAAAAAAAGAGCTTCCTCTACGAAGGACGTGTTCTTTGGCTTCACTTCATCTGCAGGTGAGAGCGCCATGGGTGTTGTGGTCGATCGGTTGGTTCACTTGCAGTATTTAGAAGTTCCACCGCTGCTCTCCAAAGGGCGGATTCGCAAGGTAGGCATTTGGGCTCTGAAGGGGCCCACCCAAGAAATGATCATTGGTAGAACTATCTTCAGCTGCAAAGTGTTGGGTGGACTCGTTTATGCTTTATTTCAGCATTGGTAGGTGAACATTGGCAATTGCATATGGGTCTGTCTTTTTTTGAGGGTACCTTTTTTTGGTGGTTGTGCCCTAAAAAATGACAGACTGGGTTTGTCTAAAACTCCCCCAAATTGGGCGCCTTCAAATCGGCCCCAAACGGGTACCGAGCACACCGGCACCCTTTTTATTTTAAGACACACCTACAGTAAATGCCCTCAAAATTGCAAAGATCCTCGGTTCCCCTTTTGTTTCGCTTGGGCACCTTTAAAAAAGACGCGCCTATACTGTGGGTGGACGAGAAAAACATAGGTTGATCAACCACCAATCCCGTAACTGGTGCGATTTTGGGATTCTGTATCCACACAAAGTACCTTCCCATTTGCGTGTTCGCCCCCTGGAAAATTCATGATGTTATTTCCAGTAGTGATCGATTTCCCTTTAAAACCAAAAAGGGAAATTAAAAAATCTTCTTCAGCAAATGGAAGGTACGGCTGTTGGTTGGGGGCAACCTCACGCAGTCCGCCACCCTGCGTGTTCGAAATGACTGACTCGCTGCCGCCTCACCGGCGTGGGACCGGCCCAGCAGCACCCCGTGCAGCAGAAGCTCCAAAGACATCACCTGGCGTCTTGAAACAGGTTGCAACCCTCCCGTTCTTTCACCGTCAAAGTCACCCCACTAAGTGGCAAGGGGAAACCGCCAGCCATTCTATGATAACCATTTCACTTCACCATGAAAGTCACCCTCCTAAGACGGGAAACAACCAACCGTTTTCTGACAACCCCCCCAGGATCAGTCGACATACTGACCCCAGCAGGGTTGGAGGTTGCTGCAGGGCCCTATCTGCCCATTCATGTTCAACGACAAACGGGTGTGTCTAAAAAATAGGCGGTCCCCGAAATCTTATCCAGGGAGCCAGTTAAAGTTGTCCGGCATAACCATGCGTACAAGCTGCTTGTTATCAACTGGCTACAACTGGTCGGAACATCCAAGTGCATTTGCTCAAATGATGGTTTCTCAAAATACGAATCGATCCGCGGGTGTTTCTTTTGCTTCTCTCTCGGCTTTTCTTTGAATGCCAACTACTGGTTCTCAGCAGGGAATGGGGGAATGACCCCTATAAACAATCCCCTATGTTTCCTTTAAGGCAATCACAAAACGGTTCATTCCCAAAACGCGGAACGGGTCACTCCCTACTGAGCACCAGGCTTAAGTTTAACTTCTAGTGGGTTAAATGGACACCTAAACAACTGATAGCTAAGGAACCGACCGGATGGCTTGGAATCGCCAAGGAAATGATGTCAAATTTGGACAAAACTCGCACCTGAATCATCGGAGCTTTCCTTATGGACCGCATGGATCGGGGCGTTGGCTCCTTTTGGTCTCTGCCCTGTGGGTTTTGGTGGCAAGGGAAAACCCACCAGGAAAAGTGTGGCTCGTCCTTTTTTGGGTTGAATTGTTGGTTTTTAAGGGAAAGCAAACGGTGCCTGGCTGTGAGGGCAAATGTGCATAGCCGAGAGGACACCACCCATTCAAATCTGCGGTTTTGGGCGAACACAAAGTAGCCCAGGGAATCAAAGAGGTACACGTGATCCACGAAGTACCAAAAGAACCCAGTCCCAACGCACAATGGTGAAGTCGCTGATGACCAGGTTGTGGGAGTGACAGTTGAAGAAGATCAAGTTTGGGAGGGTTGGAAAACAGGTTACAACAGAAAGTGAAGTTCAGAACCAGGCCCAGGAAGTCCTCGACGACCAGCCACCCACCACCTAACACCGGCCGCGGCAGCACCAGGACCTTTTCCCGATGATGACGCAGGCCGCCGTGCTATGGCGGATGCACGCAAATCCGAGAGACCCCTGACGGGAGGTTTAAACTTGAGCCAAACGGCCATTCGGCCGTTTTGCCACATGATGAAACAACACGTGAACGAAACACACCCCCCTCATCCGATATCTGGACGAGAGAAAGGATGCGAGACAGTTGAGTTCACGACGAAAGGGACCAACCAAAAATGCCGGCGTCAACTCAGAGGTGAGCCAAACGGCATCACCTGGGCCCCAGTTAAAATCCCGCCACCACCCCGAATTATCGGGGCGACAGGATTATTTGACGAGTGGACCACATGAGTGAACAAAGACATATTGGAGGAACCAGACGAAGATTCCTCTCGTGCCGTTCATGCGTTGTCATAGGACGACACCATGCGGAGGGGGACCCTATCTGGATCACCGCGCCTCACTGCACGCCGTGGAGTGGTTGGAAGAGTAGTCGAGTTGGGAGGAAATTAGAAACGGAAGTTCCGAAATTGGTGTGAAAATATCCGGCTACGGCCGGCCCGGCACTTCTAGTGCGGTCACAGCCTCACACAGGATCGCCAGGGGAACCGTCTCCGGCGCGCACGGCAGCGGTGCGGGAGGGACACGAGCAACGCCGGATCAGCGGTACAGGGCAATGGAGACCATCACCCCCAGCAGCGCCGCATAGGCGAGAGGAGGACCGGCGCGGTCGCGTTTTTCGGCGACACACGTACTATCCTCGCCCTTCTAAGGCGGATGCTGATTGCGGTACCCGCCTACCACCCTGAACCAGGTTCTTCCCGGTCCCTGGGCACGTCGTCTCTCCGGCGTCCACCACGGTCACCTCGATCACCTCCTCCATCCCGACGGCGATCCTCACCACCACCCCTATTGTGGTCACCAGCCGGAGGTCGGCGAGGCGGAGGGGGATCTGATTGGTGACGTCGGTCATCCCTGCGCCGGTCCCGGTGGCGATCGCGACGGTCATCACCCGGGTCATCACGTCCGCGGCGCTCATCTCGCCCCGGACCGCGCCTCTCGGAGGTCTCCTCATGACGTGGATGAGGTCGGCGATCATCGCGTCGGCCTCCGCGGGTATCCCTGCCACGATCATCCCTTTGTCGGGGCGGGCCAGGATCCTCGCGTCCACCTTTGCCAGGTCGATGTTTTCCTCGACCCTTCCCCTCACCCTTAGGACCGCGACGATCCTCGCGGGCCCCAAGCGCGGTCCTCGACCGATCGTCATCTCGGCGGGGCCGCGACTCATTTGCCGCACGAGTGGTCCGAGGCACACCCGGGGGAAGCTCCCACTCGTCGTTGTCGTCATCGCGCGGGTCATAGCCGCCATGGCCGCCCAAGGAACCGGTGGCATCCCGTGGTGGGGACGCAGGAGTTCCGGGACCGCCCGATCGAAGACGAACTCGGGGAGTCGCGTCCTCGCCGGTAAAAGGATCCTTCTGGGTGTAGAAACCCTTGGTCCTGCCCCTTCTCTCCCCACCTTCCACACCGCTTCTCGCGGGGACCGGGGATGGACGGGCAGGCTGGGCCATGCTCTTAGAGCTGGGTTGCCCGCCAGGCGGGACCTGAACGCCCCCCTGCCCTTTTTCGGGCGCGGGGACCCGACCATGAGATGTCCTCCTGGCCTTGGGTTGGTCGGACTCACCCTCCAGCTCGGACTCGGTGTCAGGGACACGAGTATTGATGGCCATGTCCTCTTCCTCAAACGGATCCCCAGTCGTTGTAACGCCTGCCGCAATGGGAGCGGGAGGAGGAGGAGGAGGAGTTGGTACAGCATCGCCAGAACTGACGCCTGCATGCGACACCACGGGAGTCTCCGGTTCTACCGGGACAGGCGGCGCAGGAGGAGCCGGGGGCGGTGGCGGAGGGGGAGGGATCTCCTCCTCGTCGTCGCCCATGGGCTCGTCAAGGTCGTCAGGCTTCTCGTCATCTCCGTGCGACGAACCATCCGATCCCAGCTCATCCTCCGCTGATCCAGCAAAGTCGGGCTCGTCTTCGTCCTTCACGCCGGGGCCTGGTGTAAGGCGAATTCCGGGTCGATGGCGATCGCGGGGTCGGAAGCGGTATTTCCTTGGCACAGGGTCGGACAGCTCCTGTTTGATGTCATCCTGGGTTTGAGGGCGGTCGGCCAAGCAGGTGTCGTAGGCAACAGTGGACGTCCGGTAGATCAGATCGTCCATACTGCTGAGGTCATTGAGGGTGTAGACGTACCCCTTCCTAATGCCTTCCCGTATCGTGTCCATAGCCCGTTTGAGGCGCGCGGCAGGATCGAACCCGGCCTTTCTCCGCATGGCCTGCAATATCCCGCAGTGCTGTGCGAGCAGCCCCACCTGGAACTTGAACCCCTCCCCGGACACGTCGTTGGGGAGTATCGGAGAAAGGTGTCCTGTTCTCAGCCCAATGATATGGGCCTCAAGAATGTAGTAGGACGTGTAAAAGCCGCACCGGTTGGCGTTGAAGTTTGCGGTGGTTAGGCGTCTGCCCCACTCAGCCGCATATCCCTCATATTCTTCGAAGAATTCGGGGACGGAGCTCCCGTTGAAGGCAAGACCCCTTACCAAGATCGCCTTTGCTACCCACTCTTCCACGTTGTGGTCGACCGTGTCACGGTATTTGCCGTCAAGGACTTCGTCTCGGAGCGAGTCGTGAAGTTTTCGGAAAATGCCATCCACGTCCTCTTTGTCAAGGTACTTAGGAGGCCGCATCCCAGACATCAACAAGGACCGGGCATCGACGGCGGGACTCTGCGAGTAGAGGGCCATTCCGATGGCGTTGGCGTCTGCGTTGTTCCACAGAGCGGGGACGAAGCCCTCGTATTTTGCCAGCCAGGGAGGAATCACCCCGTCGGTGCTCGCTATCGTGCGAGGGCCGCCGTTTGTGTCTCCGGTGGGCAGGACGCCCTCATAGAAGATGGGAAGGTAGCAGGCGGTGCACAGGTGAGCGCCGACCGGGTGGGCCGTCATGCACCTATGGCATGGAACGGACACCACCTCGCGGATATGTTCCGTCTTGGTGATCTGATGATACTTCTCCATCTCGTCCCGACACTTCCTCGGGTTATCACTCACGAAGTTGAGGAAGTTGGGCGGATAGCACCAAGGCCTCAGGTAAACGATGGAGCAGTCCTCCTTGAAGTAGACGCATCTCCAGTACCCGATCGCGATGTTCTCGCGCGATGCAAAGGTACCCTGGCGAGTAATGTGCATGCCCCCATTTTCCATGGAGAAGAAACGTGCATCGATAGCCATGACCACATATCGGGGATCGCTCCTTTGGCGTCGACCCGAGGTGTGCAGCTCCGTCACATTGCTGTCGGTGATGCGGTCGACAGTGTCGTTGGGGCATTCTCCGTGATCGCGGAGGGATTGATATTCATCCGGCCGAGAGGGAAGGAGCTCGATCAGAGCCCGCCCACCCCGAATGATCGCCCCACGTTCTACGTAGAGCCGATACATTCGGAGGGGCACCACCTTGTAGAGTGTCTTGGGAACCACCTTGGAGGTGATAGGAAGACACACAGGGCTCTCGTAGAGCATGTATTGGTATCGTTCACGAAATGCCCGGTAATCAGTGTCGGATCCGATCTCGAGCGACCTTACCGCCGCTATGCGGGCGGAACCAGGCAGCAACCGACGCTCCTTGTCACGAATGACGGTGATGATGATCTCGAACATTCCTACCCCATCTTCGAGAAAGGAAGACAGGAGGTACGAAGAAAAGGCATCCTCAGATTCGACGCTGGTCCCGAAGTAGTGGCTCAGGAACTTCTTCAGTTGTATCACTGAAGTAACGTTCCCTTGCCCG